TGCATAAAGTATTTGTTTTGTCTAGAACATGAGCAGAACTTGTTTACTAGGTTCACAGACTCCTCTTCTTCTACCTTTACAGCAACATTAGGCAATGAAAAGCAAATAAAAGAAACCTTGTCTGCTTGGATTGCTCGCACAGATGCGGAGAATAACAATATAACGAATTATTACACGCGGCCACGGGAAGCACGAGGAGTGATACAACTCACGTGACTTCCGGCAATGCCTCCCTTCTGACCGCCCCGACACCTTGCGGTACATTGTTACGTCACAGGGCACTGGTGGGCACTTTGAATTTTTTTGCCGTGTCAGAAACCCTTTCAGTACAGTTACTCTGTCTCAATGACAGGTTTTGCCATTGGGGAACCACAGTGTGAAAAACTAGGAGTCTTATAATAATAATAATAATAATTGTAACACTAATAATAATATAATACTAATACTACTACTAATAATGTTTTATTCGGTTTATAAAACCAGAGTGACAGGAAAAAGGTTATTGCCCTTACCATGGAGGCTCACTGCGGGTGTGCCAACCCGAGGGAAATTTCCCAGATTAAGGTAATATTCAGGTCTATGTGGTAATATAAGAAATTTCAGGCGTTCGCAAGGGAAATTCTGACTTTCCGTGTTGGCAGCCCTGGCTCACTGTACCCGCTCCAAGATAAATAAAATAAATAATAAAACACACACTGAAACTGTACACTGTAGGATTTAGGTCCAATTGTCACATCATAGTTCTTTAAGGTAAATGGTTGCACAATTGCAGAATTCCTTAATGTGCTATTTATCTTCAAATGGCCCTTGCATAACTTAACTTGGGAAGGAGCTACTGCTGCCCTTTCATTTGTTGCCAATGAAGGACGCTGCCCTCTCATTATAAATAAATGTTTTTGACTTATTTTGGTAATGAAGTGGGTTTAACTTTCCTGGTGATTAAAGCCTCCTTTGAAAACTAGCATGGTATCTCCCACTTTGCTCATTCCCTCACTATTCACTTTTCATGTAGAATATAAGCATAAGACACTAGCATTTTACATGAGTCATGTAGGATGTTTGCATTTTACATACGTAGGTCCTAATAATTTCAGAATAGGCACCCACACACTGCACCGCAACAGAGATAGCGCAAACATGCCATCAATACTATTTTACATTTTACTGTGAAAGAATATTGATGAGCACCAAATTTTATTCCTTAGGTCAGTGCCCCAAAGAAGCACCTTCTACCACTTTAGTGGTTTGGCTGACAGCATTTCAATTCTACGGGAAAAGTAAAAAAGAGTGGCAAGTGCTTCTTCAGCTAACTGTGTTATGCCGTCCACACAAAAAGTAGGCTTTGCTCACTTCAATAACTAGCAAATGTATTAGAAGGCTACACTTGTGATATTGTAGGCTGGACTGCAGGATTAGCACCGGCTCAAATTAAACTCTGAGAAGCCAGCATTTGGTGCTGAATTACGTAACTCCAAACCCCTGTCAAGTAAGTATGTGAGGGGACTCAAGTACACGCACAATTCTAACGCAGCTGCTCATAGTGCATGCCCAAATTATGGCAGCCTCGAAGAATTAACGCAGCAGCTATGAATGACGCACACTTTTGTGAAGGGACTACCTACTGTTTTATTGCAACCTGGTTATACCATCAGCCATTAACTCTCGGTAAGCAGCAAAGAGCCTAGGGATGTCTTGAAACAGCGCTAATATTAAACATATGGAGCGAAGAAATGAACGACACAAGCACTGACTAACAACTAAGGGTTTATTGCGGATAAACCGCGAAAAAACCTGAAAAAAACATACGACTTTTTAATCATGATGCAATGGCACCTGTGCATCGCAGAAGTCAGCGCTATCAGTTATACTATTCCATAGGCAATCTTCCCCGATCTGAAAATTCTACCTCACTGTCTATCAATGCCAAGGAAGCCTGACTCACGCAGGTTGGGCCCTCCTCTTTTATTTCGCGAGCCTCTACAATGTCGCAGCCTTTTGGTCCATATGTTTATACAACACGATGGCACTTTCTAGTAAAGGGCTACATGCACAGTCACGGCAGTGCAATGCCAAATGTAAGCATGCGGCTTCTGTTAACAAACTGCGGTGCTCCCGAAGGCGAATGTTAAGGCAATTCCCCGTTTGCCCAATGTACACCTTTTCGCACGAGAAAGTTATCTGGTATATGATGCGCTTTTTGCATGGTACGAGCTCGATGCGGTGTTTGATGTCGCAATCACTCCCCCCCCCCCATCTTTCTCTTGTGTTCCCACGTTTTTCCACAGCGGAGCATATTCCGCTCAATTTGTTGCGTGCCGAAAACACTACATCTACCCCATATCTTGAGGCAGCTCTTCTAAAACCGTGCGACATGCGGTGCACGTAAGGGATGACTGTGACATACTTCTTACTTTTTTTGTAACTTGGCCCCGCGCCTCCCTTTTAATACTTTCTGATATTGTTTCTGCAACCAAAAAAATTATTATATTTTTTTTTTTTTAATTTTGGCGTGGGTATACAGTTTTGAACTTAGTCTGACTCAAAGGGCGACTTGCCTACCAGCTGTAGACGAGAAATTTATCCTGTGCAGTACAACCGCCAGCCTGGGGTCTTTAACATGCACCATGCAGTAGTGATACACGACTGCACGCCGGTACGATGCTCACCCAGATCGAAATGGGGTGGGGATTGAACCCAAGATCCCTGGGTTCTGCAGCACAAGTTTTCGCCTTACGTGCTCCGAGCAGTTGTGCGCTAGCCCACTCGGCCACCGATCCCTTGGGCGATTACCAACTCTGAGTAACCAGCATCTTTTAGTCTCCCGACCTGGGCAAAAAGATTTCTTTCCACATTGTGGAGGCAGGACGTTTTTTACCGCTGAATGGTTACATGACTAGAGTGCACCGGCCTAAAATCAAGAAGAATTTTTGAAGTACTGGGATGATGCCACCAACACACGTGGCTTTTGCACACGTCTATGCAGAGATCCAAAAACTGGATTGTCCGGTCCTTTGCGATCTCAAATGCGAACTGCAAGCCCAAACCTTGCTCCCTGAATGCATTGAGCACGAAATCAAGGGTCTGACTAAAGTCCCTTTTGCCCACGAAAACCAGATAACCGTCTACATATCTGAATAACTCCTTTGCGGGGGCCTTCACCAAACTCTCTAGTGGCCTGTCAACCTTTGCGAGGAAGATATCACTCAAAACAGGTGCTACCCTGAACCCTCTGCATACTCCAGACTTCTGTACAAACACCTTCTCATGCCACCCAATAAAGGTAGACCTCAAATAAAACGACAACACCTCGAGAAACCCTTCGACAGAAATTTCGCATTGAGACCTAAACACAATTTCATCGCTGAGACCCATAATGTACCCTTTTACGCTAAGCATGAGTTCATCATGGGGCACTGGGTAGTAGAGACCTTCAATGTCGATACTAAACGCAATCCAACCCCCTGGGTTGCTATCAATAAGGTAGGCAGTAACGGCCATGGAACAAGGGATACTGAAAGGGTCCTCAACACGTAACATGTCCAAGTGCTTCTTGAGGTACCCAGAAACCACATATGGTCAGAAGCCGCGCTCTGACACAGTGGTCCGGAAAGGAATTCCCGCCGCGTCTTAGATATTGTTTCCAAGCATAGCAAAAAGTATTAAAGGGAAGGCGTGGGCCAAGTTATGAAAAAAGTAAAGTAGTATGTGACAGTCATCCCTTATGTGCACTGCGTGTTGTACGGTTTTAAAAGAACTGCCTCAAGATATGTGGGAGATGTAGTGCCTTTGGCATGTAACGAATTGAGCAGAATATGCTCCGCTGCGGAAAAATGCGCAAACACAAGAGAAAGACGGGGGGAGAGCAGATGCGTCATCAAACACCGCATTGATTTCGTACGGTGCAGAAAGGGTGTCGTATACCAGATACCCTTCTCGTGCGGGAAGGCGTACATTGGGAAAACAGGGAGATGCCTCAACATTCGCCTTCGGGAGCACTGTAGTTCGTTAACAGGAGCCGCGTGCTAACATTTGGCATTGCACCGCCGTGACTGCATATGTACCCATTTACTAAAAGGTACCACCGTGTTGTACAAACATAGGGACCAAAAGGCTCCCCAAAATAAAAAAAGAGGGCCCAACCTGCGTCAGCCAGATTTCCTTGGCATTGATGGACAGTGAGGTAGAATTTTTAGATCGGGGAAGATCGTCCGTGGAATTGTATACCGTATTTACTCGAGTAATAGCCGCACTATTTATGAACAAGGCCCTTGCTTCTACTTTCCCGCAAAGCACATATACAGCCAATCATTGTGTTGCGCATAAATAACATAGCGAATAACCAGATCGAAAACACGATTCTCCACACAAATGCAATCATCCCAGATGTTATCTTCGAGGGAAGACGTTGTCTCTGTCCTGTAAACTGCTGCAGTCATGATGTCGATCGTGGTGATTGGCAATCCGCGTGCTTCGCGGAAAAGCGAACCCTCAGGTTTTCTTCATAAACAGTGTGGCTATTACTCCAGTAAATACAGTAACTGATAGCACCCAATTCTGTGATGCGCAGGCTCCATTCCATCATGATTCGAGTTACGTGTTTCTTAATGTTTTTTTTGCGGTTTATCTAGGATAAACCCTCAGTTGTTAGTCATTGCTTGTATCGTCCACTTCTGTGCTCCATCCGTGTAACATTCACACTGTTTCAAGATTGTCCCATACAACATAGCCCAGTTATCTTGTCTCCTATGAATGTCGACTAATACAGCAAAGGATAATTGAACTGGAAATTTAACCTGCTGAAATGCATAAACAAATCTATGAGAATTTTGTCATAATACTAGTATATAGTACACACTTTCACTAAGGTGGAGTTGAGTGAAGTTAAACTTTTACTTCACTGGAGAGAGAGTAAAACCGAGCACCTGAGCTAAGACTGCTCCTCAATGTGCATGTGCCTCTTCAAAAAAGTGCAATTATTTATTTGCTAGAGAATCTCTTACCTTCATCGGGAGACAGGAAGTGGTGCCTCACTAAGAAATCCAAAACGGTGGGACAACTGGTGATCTTGAACTCCTCCGACACAACTGCATTTTTAAGCTAGTAAAAGAGAAAAAAAGAAAATGCTATTTTACTTGTTTATTACTATGCAAGAATTCACAACACCTTGCTTGAAAATTATTAAGACACCAATATGATGAGCAGAATTATGAAGACATACCTAGGAAAAAAACAAAAAACTCCTAAAGACTTCCAGAATGAGCTCATTACACCCATTGCTATTGGCAAGACAGAGTTTACACAAAACCAAGCCTTCCATAAAATTGATTGTTCTTTTCCTTAGCATTTGTTACAGCTAGATATTGTGAACGCTCGTTGAATCCGAGACTGCAATGGTTTGCCGAATCTTCTATCCTTCGGCGATATTCAAAGACGTTTGACTTTTAGATAGTGTTACCTAACCTTGTTCTACACAAAAAATATAATATTTTGTGGAACTTTACTTTAAATTTTAGGAAATGATTGCCAATGTTTATGCATTATAAAAAGCAGACATATATTCTTTAATGATTTAGTTTGTTACCTTCCCCTGCCAGATGGCGTCAGCTCATTCTCATTTTCCAGGCAAGCATATAACAGCTGAGCTTCTGCCAAACCTTCGCCAGAAATGCACGTTAAAAGTACAAGAGAGCCGAACCTGGTTGAGCTCAAACCTCAGGAGAGAGAGAATAAACATTTATTGTGGTCCTTATTAGTCCAGGACGTCATCTATAAACTCACGGCATTTTACTATATGTTTAACAAGCAAACTCCAGAGTAGAGTGCTATGTGCGGGTGGGGGAGCGATCCATTCCTCCCAGCTGCTCGGGTGAAGTGTTTTCGGTATTGCTTTGAGGGTCTCTTGTAGTGCTTGTTGGTTGTGAGGGCAGTCCCAAAGGATATGCTTATTATTAGGGTATCTGTGGCACTTTGCGCACTTCGGTTGACCTTCGCGTCCCAACAAATGATGCGTTATGTGCGGTGTGAGGAGGGTGCCAGTCTGGGCTCTTCGTACCAATGTAGAGTGCAGTCGGGTCAGAAATTGTGAGGGGGATGGGAGGGTGGTCCTGTTCTCTCTCCATTCCAACAGTGTGTTGGTTCTGTTGGTGTGAAGTGTCTTCCTGTGTATGTAAGGGTCGTATGTCTGTGGCCATGGAGTGGAAGGTCCCGGTTCAGTAATAGCTTCACGGGCGAGCTGGTGGGCCAGCTCGTTGCCTTCTATTCCTGTGTGGCCTGGTTACATCAGTGGTTCATCGTATGGAGGTTGTGTTCCATTCCCAATTACATTAATTAAGAGGCCACACACTCGTGTCACAAGCCTACCTAAATGAGCTCCAAGTTGCATGTCATCACGAAAAATGGGTTCAGAAAAGTTACACCATGCCAAAACTTGACGTCCAATCTTTGTCTCGACATAGGGAATTGATGTTTAAAACTCTCCATCAAAATATGACGAAAGCAATTACCTCGGGGACTGTCATGAGGTAGAACTCGTCGACTTCATCGTCCGAACATAGGGGCTGGAATTCTGCGGGCAGTTCGAGGTCGAACACGAAGACTGTCTCCGGAAAAATGCCCCGTTCGTCCTCGTACACAAATCTGAGAAGACAAGCGCGGTGGATTGACGACACCAATATAGCTACCATAATCAAAATAAACACTTTTCCTGCGGTGACTGAGTCAGTTACAACCTTCACCATTGCCACTGGCTATGGCCAGTGGCAATGGACACTCCCCAGACTTGGACACTCCCCAGGGTACCCTTATCGGGTTCCCCCACCAAGATCCCAAACTTTGTTGACTGTCCCTGCCTCTAAGCAAAATGTTTCTCCAGTTTAAAGTACTACATTAGCAGATCTGAGCGACCCCTCAAGCACAGCTATGCAGAGAGCAAGTCGTCTGCTCCTTGCCCAGGAGTTGCGGTGACTTCAGAATGATGTGGAGCCCCGATTGGCATTGCAAGGATAGTCGGTAGACCTCAATGCTCTATGCCTTGAGATCTACCCGCTATTTTTTTGCATCAGCAAAGAAGGCAAACAATGGGCTACCAACAACTGAACTTTAGTGTGAGAAAACTGGTACTGTTTGTCTTTATTTCTAGTCCATGTCCCCCTGGCACTTTTAGTGTCCCTTCAATGTACCAACTGGCCCATCTTTCCATTCTCTTGCAACAGCAGTGTGCAAGGTTTAGAAAGAGTTGGGGAAGAAACTGCAGACGTACGAGACGTTTCCCGCTGGCCGGATGCAGTTCAGGAGGTTCTCGGGCAGTGAGGCCTCTTCCTGCGCCTCTTTGCGGATGCACTCTGTTATGCCGTAGCCGACGCAAACGCCCCCCGTCACCTGAAGACGAGTTTAGAAATGGAGGTCATCAATTGCACATACCAGCTAATATCTATCTTAGTCTTCAACCCTAGCTTTCATAGTGTATAGATAAGCTTGAAGACACAATTTTTTTGTATTTTAATAAACCCGTGCATCTAATGTCTCGGAACACAACATATGAAGAGCAAATCAGAAGCAGTTTATGGAAATGGCTCAGTAAATGAGAAGGCAGACATAACACCTTAACTTAAAATGGTGATTTCTGATAGGGTTCTGGGTATGGTGCTTACATGCTCCTAATAGTAATGTAGACTCCTGTTCTGTTCTAGTTCAAATGTGATGAGTGCTTTCTGGTTCAGTGGTCTTCCTTCATATACCACAATGGCCAGACGCCACATGGAAGAGCAACATGCACAGGATTTCTCAATGGCTTGCACTAGATTCAAGTGAAGTGAACAGGGCAGCTCAGTGGGTTCTTCAAAAACTCCATAGATGTCTCTGTTTAGTTCTCATCACAGTCCTTCAACACACTTCTGGTCACGAAACTTCCTCAAACGTTTGCTGCGAGGACAGAAGCTGCCGCTAGATTGGCAATAAGGGGGCATTTGGCGTCTCCCCTTTGAGTGAGCCGATCAAAATTCGCGGTGACAAGTAGCTTCGTAAAAACAATTTTTTTGTACACCAACACTTTCTTACGCCTGTAATTGATCACTGTATACAAACGCTGTCGATTCTTTACTGATCTCCAACAATGAAACTTGCAAATAAGCTTTTCTTAGCTTTTTTTCCAAACAAAATTATAATTTCTCAAGCAAAAAGATGCCATTCACTTGAGTGTATAGGCTCATATTCCCTTTACTAGATGGCACCACTAGCAGCACTGAATTTTAATGGTTGTAGAGGCAGCATTGAAAAGTAACTTTGAAAAGAGAAAGATTAATGAATGATATCATATTAGGGGGTTGTTGCATTTAACAAATTTTTAGTAGTTGATTGGGAGCACAGGACTAAGGACGCCTACATTAATGAGAAATGCTCTCAGTGCACTGTCAATGCGATGATGTGTCCCCACAATCTAGGTGTGGCTCATTCAGAGTGGGTTAGAAATTCCACTAATACTTTTTGGTTGCCAGCCTCTCTGCAGTGGTTGCTAGATTGATGGCTCTCTGCACCCCCTGTCGGCACCAGCACCGTAGTGTGGTCACGAAGAAACCTCCCCCATAATCACGGACTTGTTTCATGATTACAGAAGTGCACTGAAGGACTGGTTCTATGTTTATAGGATGACCTCAAGTGTGTGGCATGTTTTATTGAAGCACCTGCAGTCTCATTAGTGAGGTATGATGATACAAAGGTTTTTTCCTCCTAGCTTTTATATATACTGCATTTTCCGGTATATGCGACACACCCCCCACTTTTAGCAAGTTCCTAAGCAAAAATTAGTACTTAAGACTCACCACTGAAAATTGTGGAAAACAAAGTGCATCTTATGTATGAGATGCATCATTGTATAAGACTCACACCCTACTTTTCGCAAGTTTCTAAGTAAAAGTTAGTATATAAGATGCACTGCCGAAAATTTGGGGAAAAAAGTGTGTCTTATACACTAGAAAATACGGAACATAGAAAGCCTCTTTTGAATATTTGAAAAAAAAAGAAGGGCCCTGAACTAAACATGAACACAGGAGAAAAGAAGCAGGCCTGTACTTTCTTTTTGCTGTTTTTAAACATTATGCAAAATAAAAAAAAATAAAAAAGTGAAATTTTAAGCAGCTAAATCTTTTGTCCTGTGGAAACCCCAACAAAAGCCACCAATAGATAAAGGTCTCAAAATTGAGACTTTTGTGTCGCTTTTATGTCTCCCCTGGTCTTGTATTCTTCTATCAGAGGGTAAGAATGATCTGACCAGTGTAAAGGCCTATCACAAAAGTCTGCAAGCAAGAGAAAAGCACCAAACAAAATCTTTTATATCACCTCTTAAAGGGATACTTCAACGAAATTTGAAATATTCCCGTCGTGTTCAAAAATAGGTTGAATATGATCCACAATATTCGTAAATGACAATTGCACGTTTGTATTTTGAGCCTGGTGGCTGTATTTTTCGTTATAAATGGCCCACTCTGGCAAGCGCTCGGAGAAGGCCCAGCGGAGGCCACGTGACATCCAACGCAATCGTGACGTAGGTCGTCTCAAGACGAGCAAAGCTACGGCGAGGCTGACGTCGAGAGGATGGCCTAGTCGTTCCAGCCACCGAAGCGGCTGCTTTTGTACAAATTTTGAGTGACGGGTTAATCTTCTATAATCTTGTAGGGGGACAATAGCGACTTCTGTGACACACAAAAGGCATTCTCGGGAAGAGGGGAGTTCCTCCTGCCCCTCCTCTCTCGTTGTGGCCGGAGACGAGACAACCTCCGTCACTAGCTGCCAAGGTTGCTAGACGGGCATTACAAGCGAGGCGTTAGCGACATCCACCAGGTGCTCTTTGCTAATCGTTTAATTCGTTTTAAAATTCCTTTTCGTGACTTTTTTAACAAGATATTGGTATGTTCGATTTGATGGTGCTTTTTTGAACACATATAGACCAAAAAATGAGCGCCGAAATTTCGTTGTAGTATCCCTTTAAAGGGGTACTCCGGCGATTTCTTCATGGTCCCCGATTTGCTTGAAATTTTGCTGAACTCGCCAGACAACATCGCCAAAATAGTATCCCAAATATTAGGTCAAAATATATTCTTTTCACGAAGTTATTGAATTTACAATTTTGATCCTCACCGCGTTTTTCAAACTGAAAGTCTCTACTGGCAACAACGAAAAAGTGACGTCAGTGGAAATGCAGGGGTTCACTCTTTGGACAGTAGAATTTGTTCCCAACTGATTCGAAGCAGTTTCATGGTGCCAAATAAATGCTTTGGAAGCTCACTCCAGTCCCTGCGCTCCAGCACGGAACAAATGATTGGCATATATTTTTTAGACTGCTCGCTCGACTGGCAAGCTTGCCTTCCGCTGACGTCACGGCCCTGAAAAGTGTGGGTATATTTGAATGTTGGTTTTTGCATCATTTTCATTTGCCGATTTCGCAATAACTATTATGAATTTAGCGATACTAAATAGCATACCGGAAAGAATAAAGGCCGGGGAGTCCGAAAATATAGTTATTTGAGGTAGCTCAAAAAATCGCTGGAGTACCCCTTTAACCTTGGGGGAAGATGCATGCTTTATGGATGCGAATTCCGTCCAGACTGTGGTGTTTCGTGAACCCATACTGTTGCAATGTTTCGTCGTCAACATAATTTTTTTTACTAGATGGATTGGCTTCGTTTCCTATGCCGAAAGTATTTTGAAACTATGGCAGAGCCCCGGACCACCCAGAAAGCTCCGATGCAACAAGAACAGATCCGCGAGCCCTAATTCTAGGCTTCCAAACAGACCGCACATGTGCGGCCAGGGGTGGATCCAGAACTCCGTTTTGGGGGGGGGGGGGGGGAAAGTTTGTAAGGATACTATTCTCCTATTCTTTCGCGTGCATCGAGGGGTCCACCCATGTCAAATTGCCCTCCGAGAAGGAGGGGAGGGAGGGGGAAGGGGGTCGACTTTGTTTGGGGAGGCGGCCACCCCCGTCGCCCTTGTGTGCGACCACCCTTCGCTTTGCTCTGCTCCTTTAGCAGAAATTAATTATTAATGACTCGAGCTTACGCAAATCCTTGTCGGAAACGCAAAGGGTTCAGGAAGCTAGGAGCTATCATAAGAATGCTGGCGTCCGGCCCTGTGCACAGAAAGCAGCTCTTGACGAAACGTCACAAGACGTGTTGACGTCACAAAATGCAGGCACCTGTCCACAAAACGTTGCATGTGTCAAGAAAACATGGTTCAGCAAACCGGTCACCACAGCTTTTGGACACCCGAAGTCGAAAGGGAGATTTACCATGTTGTCTATTTTGCTTGGGAATGTTTCCTTCGTTGCGGAACGGCGCTGGAGCCAGACACTAAGCGACCCGTCTGGCCTCTTGACGTAACCGTTTATGTGCACGCCGCACCGCTTGATGCCAAATAGACCTGCCATGCAACACAGCACGTTAGTAAGTTTCAACAGACACAGAATGCCTAACTACACTTGGTGACAGGTTAACAACCCAGTAGAAGCCCCGCCTCTACCACTTGAGTTCCGCCAGGCTTCGGCAGCATGTGCGATGAAGTGCAATCGAAGGCAGAAAGCTCACGCTTGAGGTGGGGTACCAACCAGGTTCCCAACCTGTCACCAACTGTAGTTTGATCGCCGATAAAGCAGTAAGCTATTTAATTTCGTACATGTGGCCGATCTTTCCAGCTTCATGAGGGGCTTGTCACCAAACCTGGCACTCACTTCATAGCACTGCAACAACACACAAAAAATTAATAACGCGAAAACAAGTGACCCAGGTTCTTATGGGGCGCCTTCATGAGGCACAGGGACAGATGCCAGCCAAGTTGGTCTTGACTCAGCCTGCCGTTATTTTTAGACACAACAAAAATTTAAAAAAAAGAAAAGAAAAAAGAACGACGTAAACAACGACAGTAGATGACAGCGTGCGCTTCCATACCTCGTTCCTCCAGCCGTGCAAGGTTTTAAATATCTTCTTGCGGCGGACCTCTTGCATGAGGGATTCCATTTTCGCGCTCCGCTCGTCGTAGGTCTTCCAGCTAGGGTTGAGGACGACTCTGTTGGTCTTGATGTCGTAGTGGAAGGCCTCCTTGTATTGTGAGAGATGCATCCAGTCATTTGGCCGGATTAGGCCGACTTGCTGGTCTCCGATGAAGAACGGCATGCAATTTTCATGGTAGAAACCTGCGGGGATGAGGAATGCCCACCGCGGAATGTTCGATTCGGTTCGCGCTAGTGCCGATCCAAACGTATCACAGAATGAACCAGGATGCAGTTTGTGATTCTGAACATTCTTAGCGGTTTTCGGCTTTCGAATATTGAGCTCAAAAATCGCCAAACGTATCGCTTTCGAGTAGTAGTTTTACCGGCACGTTTCCAAAGGGATACCAGACTCATAAACGATAAGAGCGGAGGACGTTTGAGTCTCCGAGGATCGGCCGTAACTGCTACTACGAGAACTGCCAACCACTCTGACGCATAAAAGACAGCGTCGTAGACGGAACACCATTCATACGCATGGAAGAGAGCGAGCGAGAGCTTCGCAATGGATGAATGCAAACGCGCGCCGAGAGCGCGCGTCAGTCAGCCCGACCGGGAAAATACAAATAAAAGGACGGCGGAGGGAACGATTCGTCGGGTATTTCCGAGCGCGGAGGTGATTGTAGAGCACTCACTAATTCGTGTGATGTCGAAATGCTGCAGCAAGCGTTGCAATTTCGCCGACCAGTTCATGCCACCGCAATCACCACGACCGATCACGGAGCAGCTTGCGCGGCCACTGATGATGAGGACGGGCACTGTTGTTTTCGACAGTGCGCGGACCGTAGCCCTCACGAGTAGTGCGCTTGATTGCATATTTTATTTACGGAACGAGCCTTCGCCACTCGTTGGGAGCGTAATTGGAACGTAATCTGACCCGGGTTAACGCTTAATAATAGTTCACTGTGATTGTTTACGCTTTTTTGATGACGTTTGTAGTTTTGTTTATGAAAAATAGAGTGGGTAAAGTCTCGCGTCGACGCGACTGTGACCTGCTTGGCACAAGGTGCGGCTTATGTAACAATCCCACGCAAGATTGTGAAAAACTGGATGAGCGAAACGTCGCCGCAACCGTTTTTATCGCTTATCAGTCTAAAACACAAACAAAACAAAAATAATATTGCAAATTAAAAAAAAAGTGGGGCGGTTGCGCGCGCCATCCAGTAGCCACAAAAGGCATTAAATTAGAGGCGACGAGGCAACTCCGGTGTCGCGCTCAGCTGCTCCACCGCGTACGAGGCGAATGTAAGTTCATTCATTGCATTTTTCGAAGGTAAACGACGAAATTTATGTTGAACTTGACAAGTTTCTAGAAGACTGTCACGGTAGAATAACGGTGGTTTCTTAAACGCAGCCGTCAAGAATCGGATTACCTAAAGGTGTTGTGTAACCTTGGCGAAATGTCGCTACTTCTCGAAAGCCATCCACGTTGAGCGTATAAAATATCGTTTGTTTTAATTTTATGCCTGAAGTTTGACGATTATAAACGACCGCACGAGCGTCCCGCATGGGTTAAAACGGTTGAAACGTGATCGCTCTAGCTAGAACATCAAAAGCGCATGGATCGAGTTCAGATTTCGCTACCTTTAACGTTTGTACGTGCGTGGCTGGTTCCTCAAAGTTCACGGACTCTTCAGTCATTTGTTTACGTACGACCAAATAGCTCTTAGCAACCCGGTTGACTCGTGACTTTTTTTTTCTTATCTTCACTTTCAGTATGTCGGAGACATCCGAGGGACCAGCCACCAACAACAAAAATCCGAAGAAGTCATGCGTGCCTTCCAATTTCTTCACCTGGCAGCTGACGGATCCGTTGAAGGTCGAGCGGTATCTGATCGGCCTATCTCTGGCAAATTGCACGCCGCAGCTGGAACAGGAACTGTATGCTCCCAGCGATGTCGGTTTTGGTAAGCAGACCGCGCGTTTGCTCTGCGAGGAGCAGCCACTCAGCCTCAATATTTGGTTTTAGCTTGAGCATGGGGTCGATTCAATGAAGATGATAATAGTACTCGTGTTCTACAGATGCTTTTCAGACTTACCATGCACGACTGAAAATAGTGCGTGGTAGCATTTGCTAAAGGACACCATTGTGCTGATGAGCCCATCAGTTGTATAATGCTTACTTGCAAGCTGTAGGCTTTATACGTGACTTGTTCATGACGTCATCCAAAGATCACTCCAGTGGCTACCAGAGAGGGGGTGAAGGAGGAGCTTCCCTCTTGGACCTTTTCTTGTGTCTCCGATTTGCCCAGATGTTGCTATTCTCCTAAGATTAATGCGTCACTCAAAATTCCTACAAAAGCAGCTTCTGTCCCTCTCTCTTTCATGGTCGTCAAAAGTATGTGATGTGATGTCAGTGCAAGGCATAAGTGCAACTGTGGTGGTGTTTGCTTGTCCTTCATGATGCATTGTATTTGGAACTAACTTAAAAGGAGCACCTGATTTATGAAGGTGACGAGATGGTGAAATTTTAAGGTAGACACAGGCTTTATTTAGAGATTGACATTTTGACATTTTACAGTAAAACCCACTTTTTTAATGAATCGGAAGCTTGAACATGGTAGCAAAGTATCAAGATTAAAAAAAAAAAATTATTTTTAGAGTGCAGTATTTAGGCACTTGTTCCATGTGTTTCGCGGCGTCGCCGTAAACATACCGCGCGGGTTGCATTATGGGTAGGGTGACCATGTTCCTCAAGGTAGAAAATGAAACATCCCAGCAAGGGGCAAACGGGGAGCGGGGGGCGGGGCGGGGGGCGCAGCGGTGGCGGGGCGGGGCAAAGCAAGGCAAGGCGGGGCGGAACGGGTGGTGTACTACATATTGAGATTGGGAGAAAAAGAATTTAATCATTGAGATAACTGCTCTTATATTTTAAAATGTTGCCATATTGCACTAAGCCCTAGCGCCTAGGCAACAGTCACTCTTAAGGCCGGTTCACACATGCAGCGAAGCGCAATTGTAGCGCTTCTCACGTGTCGTCTGCTACTTATTGTCTGCCATGAACAACAGTATTGACGGTGCGACACAAAGCTGGTGAACGCTCCTGTCAGCACGCGCTTAGGGCGAGGTCAGCGCTACGCTTGTAGCGCTCCGCTACATGTGTGAACAGGCCTTTACAGTTCAGTTGCATGCACTCATTTGGAAGGTCCTGCTTCGGGTCCTTCGTAAGTGTGGGCATATTTTGCCGACGATGCAAAATACGCCCACACCAATGAATATGCACTCCTGTGAAAATGGGACATGATTCTTTATTGGGACAAAACGACGGGGCGGCAGAAGCGAACCTCAGAAACGGGACTGTCCCAGCCGAAACGGAATGTCTGGCCACTCTAATTATAAGACGTCACAGATGTATACACCAGTTCATTTTCCCGCTAAATTTAGCGATGAAACTGTATTGCTGTGTGGGTCTGTGACGTCCCATAGTGCAGCACTGCACACTCAGTTTCCCCATTAAATTTAGCGGTAAAACTGATTTCACATGACCTCAACACCAATTCAGTTTCCCCGCTAAATTTAGCGGGGGATTGAATTGGCATTGGGGTCACGTGACATCAATTTTCCCACTAAATCTAGTTGACAAACTGAATTTGTTCAAAGGTGATGTGACACAAATTATGTTGCGTCAATTTTCCAGCTTAATTTAATGAAAAAGCTGTGGGAGGAAGGGAGGTTATGGAGGAGGAGGGGATGAAGAAGATTGGAGAAGGGGGAGGGGATGGTTATGAGTACCTTCTCCCCTCTCCCTCCTACATACCCTCCCCTCTGTGTCCTCTCCTCCTCAGGAGCTGTGCTCTAATTTCGCATTACAGAGATTCGTTAACCTCTTTAAATTTTTGTATGAAAGAATCGGACATGCATGGAATGGTATGTTCGTCCTTTTGTTTGTTCTTCACAGTTTTCTGGAAGAAAAATAGCACACACAGACACGCACAGTAGAAGCCCATTAACCTATATAGTGTTTGACAACGTTCGAGGGGCTAAAGTCAAGATGCAACTGCGAGTTGCCGTCGCAGTTGCTACGGTAACTTGAAGTCGTACTTCAAAATAAGCTTGCACAATGTTGTCAAATAGTATATTGTGTGAATGGCCCTTAAGACTCCCTCCTGAAAAAAAAAACAAAAAACATTACACTAAATGAAGTATAGACCCAATATTTCTGGTGATCTGCACTTACAATTTTTCCTACTCTTCAGCTTTTTCTTACACTCCTATCAATGCTAAGCTTTTAAAGGAGTCCATTGTAAAGATATTTTTTTAGATTGAAGTTGATTTTAGCGTAATATTTTTTCTGTCATACAGATGAAAAGCCCATTCCTGAGACTGACGACCTCAAGGTCTCTACCGTCATGTGCTGTTCATTGTGCGGGACGGAATTTGAGTCCCGCGACGACCAGGTGAGGTTAATGAGCCATGTGTCGTTGTGCAGACTGCTTTTAAGCCGGTGTTCTTTCCAAAGTTGTAACTCTTTTGTTGTTCGCTTCTTTGCTATGCAGGTTCAACACTACAAGGCAGACTGGCATAGGTATAACCTGAAGCAGAAGCTCAATGGAGAGGCAATTTTGCCAGAGCAAGAGTTCTTGGATATGATAGGTACAGACTCTTCACTGTTAGTAGAGTAAGCTTGTGTCTCATATAATTTGTTAGTTGGTCAAATGGAGGGTCAGTAATAATCTTTGCCACACATAGTAAAGTCAAAGATTGTAATGAGTATAGCCATATACAGGGCGTTCTTTTCTTAGCTGCATCAAATTTTTAAATAAAGGGGGAAAGGTTTTATGAATGTGTTTTTCATTGCATATTTATATGGCTCGGCAGGCATTAGATGGGAATATAAGTATAACGGTTATCAATGTAATTAACTAAAATTCGTTAATTAACTTTGTAATCACTGTAATTAGGATATATGTTTATATTACAAACTTTGAGGCGATCATATGCCAAGACTTCCCTTCCATTTTGTAGAATTTGCGTAACCAGCCTTCTTTTTACGTTACTCATTCTCGAATTTTGCACTTTTACCCGGCTAATGTAGCAAAGTTTGGCTACGGTGCCCATTTTCTCAGGTTTGCCAGATTGAGTGGATCAGAAGTCAGATTAAGTAGATAATTCGGGAGCAGATATCTCGGAACATGGACTGGTTATGCAAATTCTACAAAACAGAACAGTCTTGGTATATGACCACCTCAAGGTTCGCAATATAAACATATCCTAATTAGAGCGATTAAAAAGCTAATTAACGACTTTTAGTTAATTACTGGTAGTATGATAATAGAAAGGGTTATATTCCCATCTAATCTTGACCGAGCCATATAAACACACAGCAGAAACCGCATTCATATAACATTTCCGCCTTTATTTACAAACCTGGTGCGGCTAAAAAGAAAACGCCCTGTATATTTATGTGCAGAAGAGAGCTATGTAGTATATTTACCCATCACTGGAATGCTTAGATCTAATAAAATAGCGCTTAAACTGGTAAAGCGTTTTACTTAGTGTTTAGGACAACCAAGGAAGTTTGAAAGCTTGGGGAACTTCAAGGTTCCTAGAAACCCAGCTTGAGTCCCCGTGAGGGTGGTCTGTCTTTGCAAGGCAATGGCAATGCATCTTCTAATCAGATTATGGTTGACTTGCTCAGAACTATTTCAACCCAAACTTTTTCAGAGGAGGTCTCGAGCATTTCTGGTTCAGAGTCTGAGACAGACACAACATCTGCCACTGACACCCCGGAATCCGCGAGCGGAGGAGAGTCTAGTCCGCTTCGCAAGTTGAGAGAAGGCAGCCAGCGAAACAGCTCCACCAGGAGAGCGAAACCGGGCAGGGAACGATCAAACAGTGTTGCATCCACCGATACAGAAGGGTAGGCCTGCTGTCCTCTTGCTAATCTTTCTGTTGCTGTTCTGGGTGACCTTGACTGCAGAGAGAGTATATTGCGTGTTTGGATGTGCAAAAACAGTTGTTTGATAGTATTGTGTTTGTCTTCAACCGAAATGCACCTTAGTGGTTCGTATTGTCACAATAACAGCTCAAGTTTCAGCTTTATTTCTGACAGATTTAGGAAGCTTAAAGCAGGGGGAAAAGGTTCCTTCCTTTCTTTAAATCTTGCATATTAATTTGAGCTTAGCTCGCTGTTAAGATCTCTTGGGTGGATTCTCTGAGGATACGAATAATGTCAGGATGGGTGCCGAAAGGTGCGTGATGCCTTTGTTGTCAGGTTTGCTCTTACGAGAACAAATATAAAAGCCATAGGTGAGGCAAACGTTGTCACACAGCCTGACTAAATCTCGGTGTCTGTAGAACAGATTGAGGCATTTCCCTTCTATTCGTTCTGAATGACACTCCGTTTCCATGATTGCATCGACAAAGCCTTAGTAAGACTGGACGTCTAGGCCCTGCTGCCTCTGTAGGTCTTCAGGTGTGGACGAGTTTTCTAGTTTTCGGTTCAAGAGGATTACTGTGATTAATTCGTAACTAGTTAGTTCCTAGATTTATTGACCCAACCTTCTAAATACAGAGGTTGTAGGATCTCATCAGATGTAAATTAATTTCGACCTATCCCTAATAGACTCTTTTCAAAAGTATGAGCCATCTGGTGGCTGGTGCATCAATTATCTGAGTCTGCCATTGTTTGGGCGCATACGCTGGACATGTGTTGACCCCGAGATCCGCGTTGGCGTTCGGCGTGAACTCTACTGCTCGTATTAAAAACGAGCGATGCGTCTGTGTTTGGCGAGGACTCTGATCCAGTCGCATGCCCCGTACCCAAGAAATTGCGACCACCAATGTTGCTTGATAGGGTTTTGAAATGGGTCAATTGCCGTCTCATTGGCAGCGAGGACACTGACCCGGACAAATCAGAGTCCAGAAGTGCTCGAATGAATGCCAAGGTGTACCTCAAGAACAGCGAGGGCCAAGTCATGGCACTTTATCGGTGTATTGTTCATGGCAAGCTGGCAAGTGCAGTTCTGCTCTATCTTTTTTTCCTTCTACTGACCATCATTTTTATAGACAGATTAATGAGAGAATAAACAAATTTTTTGACTGACATCTTGAACATTATATTATTTATGCGAGTTGCAAATTTAGTCACGAGATCAGCATGCTTGGTAACGTCGGCCTGGTCAGAAAGTTACTAGAGGCAAAAGAAAGACATGGTTGTGGAAGAAACTGCCAAGTAAATCTGGTAGTTCCAGCACTTCAAGAAACGGTAGTTTCAGCATTTCAGTGAGCGAATTTCATGCTCTTCTATTTTGACTTGATCGTCCACTATTAATATTATTGGAATTGTTTTCATTACTTCATTTATTTTAGATCAGTTTGTGTTCTCGTTTCCTGCAGGCAGTGCCTGCCACATTCTCTCAGCTAATATCTGCAATCATTGAGGTTCCCAAGAAGATGCAGTGGGCTATCCTCATGGTAGGCGGAGGACACTTTGCGGCTGCTGTTTTCAACGGGTATTGCTCTTTCTTTAAAACTTCTTGGCCATAGACGGAGGGGGGGGGGGGGGGGGGGGGGTTGTTATGACTTCTCCAGTACGGCAATTAAGGTACTAGTTTCCAATATTTAATAGCATTGACTTCAAGCAACAAAAGAATTTGCTTTCTCTAAACTACAACCACAGATTTAACCCCTGAAGTGCCACATTTTGTTTCCCCAAAATACCTTAAAAGTGCGATATTTTTTTACTTTGAATTTTTATTCCTCTAGTATTACACATAAAATTTGAAAAGTTTATGACAAAAAAATCAGCGGAAGCAAAAAAAAAATATTTGCCAACTAATACGAGTGCTGCCGTCTATGATCAGCGCTGCAAAACTACGCGGACAAGCCTTCCTCGTCCGTGGAATTGAGGGCTACCTAAAAAACCACTGGACGAGCTGAGCTCGTCCATGGCATTTTTAGCCAAAAAAAGGCTGACGAGCTCGGCTCGTTCAAGGCACTTAAGGGGTTAAGTGCATTTACAAAGTGGTAAAATATAAAGGGTTTTTAAAATTTGTCTAAAATTGAGCCACATAACTACCTCAAATTAGGCATGCATATATATTTGTGAAAAGGGTTTCACTCCTGCAATATAATTCATCTCTTGCAAAATATGAGATAGAACAAAAGACAGTTATTTGCCAATTTTGTATCTGTTGAGGGGCTGTTAGGGTGACCCGCATTTAAAAGAAGTGTTTTAACTAGTGTAGGCAGAGGTCAGCAAAGGCTCAGCATTTGTCCTCAAGTCTGTTTAGATCTCTTCCTTGCTAATAAACATAAGGGAACAGGGATTGAACAATAACTACCTCAATTTACAGCAAACGCACCCGTCTCTTTATCTCGCTGATCCAACACACTGATTTTGACGTTGTGGATTTGATGTTGCAGGCAGCGAAACAGTCTTCATAATCCCTGCTAATGAGGACAAGATTTTTGTTTCACAATCACTACTACAATGGTTACGGCGAAATCTCTGCAGTACTATCCTCAAACGTTTTCAGATCCGAGTCCCTGCTCCATAAGACATTCCACCGTTACACTGTGCGGGCAAAGCAAGGTGGCGCCCAGTCCAGCCGAGATGGCAAGCAAAAGGGGATGCAGCCCAAGTCGGCTGGCGCAAGCCTTCGGAGGCACAACGAGATAGCACTCACCAAGGTAACCACTTAGAAGAGCGCTTGCCGGTATGATATAATATATAATAATAATAATAATGCCTGTGCCTACAGCACAATATTTCGCTCTATATGTTGTCCAGCTACAGAGCATTGAGGACCTGCCTTGTTTTCTTTTGCACGAAATGCTACTATATGGTGTCTGCATGGACACTGCCCAATTAAATTTTTGCTACAGAGCTATTTGCAGGGGTGGTCCAGTTGAACCAGTTCCGCCACTTTAATAAATTCCCGCTTGGGTACGTGCGCCTTGCTGTGCCCAGAGGAAACAATTGTGCCTAAGTGCGCTAAGCAAACAAATCTGCGAACCAATTGGTTTTTGGAAGAGTTTGTTTTCGCCTGGTAACTGTCGGGTTCTAGTGGGGCTTGACCATCACAATCCAGTCCAGCTGCGCGGGCTCCGCAGTAATGCAATGAGTGCAGTTTTAAGAGTTTTACCTAATTGGGCATATCAAGGTGCACTTCTGAAGGTTAAAATTTTTGTTTTTTTTCTGCGTCCACATGTTTAGAAGCGTGACACTGTTTTATTGAAATGTGCTCGCCCATGGCTCCCATTTCGTTAGCATGCTCAGTGGGGACTGCTTAGGTACGAGTTGTTGTTTTTTTTGCCTCGAGTAGTGTGAATCCTTGACCATACTACTTGTTAAGATGTCTCTTGTACATTATTTTTGATTGAGCGTCTGTCTACTAACTTGGATTTTTGGGCAACTAGATCGCTATCACAACCGACAAAAAGCAAAGGAAATCAAACATTGAATGGTTCCATATTAAAAGGTCATCAGGAAGTGTTGTCAAAAAATAAAATGAAAGCGTGTTGTTTATAGGAGTTAATAAGATCCAAACAAGGCTGATTTTTAAGTCAGTTCACCTCTTTTTATTATTTAGACTCCTAAAAGGGTTAAATTGACACTCTACATCAACGTCTCAAAGGTGATGGTTAGCACACTTACATCAGTCCTGTTTTAACCTTTGTCCACTAGCACTAATGGAAACAAAACATAAATTCGACTACCCAAGTTTCTGGCGCAGCTTCACAGCAGTCGATGGGCAATTTGACTACCTAGTATAGCGTAACTGCTAACTTTGGGTTTTAATGGGTATAATGCAACTGACTACTGAATGCATGCCGGCATCACTACTGATAAGGAACTGCACCATATTGCTCCAAACTTACATGTGTGTCGCTCCAAAGCTGCTCCAAATTGTGAATTTTTCTGATACATAGGTGCTCCAAAATGAGACTTGTTCTGCTCCAAAAGCTGCTCCAAACTCAAAACTGAATGGACTTCCCCTGTATGTGTTTACTTGAAATAACAAAGAAAGCCAAACTGAGTTTAGAAGACTAGAACAGAGGAATTTAAACGTGGAGGGATGTGGACTTAACGACTCCCGAAGTCACGAAGGTTGTTTCACTTTCTGCGTCTCTTCATTCAAGTTTTCTTTTGATCAACATGTTTACGGTGTCTCAGTGATCATAGAAACTATGTCATGCGGATTCCATTATTTTTTGTTATTAATGAAGACGTGCCTCGGACAGCTTATTGCATCTCGAATATTCTGAGTTTTGGGTCGTCATTGCAAGCGGCTGTCGAAAAAAAGAGCGGGCAAAGCCGAGCAACTGCTGGTTTTCTTGCAGGAAAATGTCAGTTTTCTAGCCAAAAGTAAGATTTCTTCAATAATTGGGTACTTGTAAGTCATGCTTTTTGTAAGACTCTAGGCAGCCACGAATGCTTTCTGAGACTCTTTAATGTGCGCAACCACTAAAAGGTCAGATGTTTTTTTTAGAGAGTTTTTAATGCAAAAGCATTAACTGTCCCATGGAGTAAACCGGCATTATCAGCTCTTGAAGCTGTGAAAAACGGCACCTAAATTCTCCTCTCCTGTGGAGCGAAGCCTTTATAGTCTGTAGCAGCAAAACAAGGAATAAATTCCCATGGGCTGAGACGTGTCATATCAGAATGAGATGCTTCGTCACGGAAGTTGCGAGGGCTGCTCAAGGTCAAAGCGGACATGCCTAAGAAAAACAAATAAAACTCAAAGAAAAACACAGCAATGCTGATGCATTGTCACGGAAGCCGTGGAGTTGAGGGGGGGCACTGCACCTGCGCAGTGAGGGAGCGTGATGTCACTGCTGGAGCACAGTGTGAAAAAGGAAGACATGGTGCGCTGCTTGTAGGAATGCACTGCACGTACGAATGCTTTCGCATTCTTACACAAAAGCAGTCTTAAGTGTCTTCTCGAATTTTTTTAAAATGGTATTTGGCACTGCGAAACTTTTTGACGGATGTGCCTTTTAGATCACCTGCTCATTAGTCTTTGTTCTCACCCGCGTCCTTCCACCACAGGACATTCAGGACCTGCTGGGAACGTGGGCTGAGGAGCTGCAGAAGTGCAGCGCCATCTTCTACCGGGCGCCGGGCGCCAACCGGATCGTGCTCTTTTACGGCAAAAGCCCTCCATTCAAGAAGTCGGACCCCCGTCTCCGACCCATCCCATTTCCTACCAACAGGGCGACCTACAAGGAGGTCCTTCGGGTGCAGAGGCTGCTGTCCACGGTGGAGTGTTTCGGTGCGTTTTCGTTCACGCTTTCCTCAGCGTTTCAGCCATCGATAGATTCGAGTTGTTCCGCTTTGGCTGTCACTGTGTTTACTGTACTGGGAAGCGTCTTACCTCAACACCGAACTCTGATTGGCTCTGATGGAGGGATAGTGGGTAGACCTCAATGATAGGTGCCTTGAGGTCTACTCACTATCCTTCCAATCGGAGCCAATCGGAGCTCAGCGTTCTGACGTCACCGCAACCCCTTCTCACGAGGCAAACAATCTTGCGCTTCACATAGCCACTGACAAGATGAGAATGGCGAGAAGGAGTCTCAAGTGTTCTTGCCTCCAGCACGAGGTTCCCAGTTTCAATAATTCTTCGGCATCTCGTGGGCCTTGAGCGTGCCTGTGCAACCAAAGCACTGCAGAAGTCAAGGTGCGCGTGCTGGAGGCTCGGCGTCGGAAAGAGTTGCCCTGCAGTTCTTATCCCATTCATGACGATGGTGGCACCGACAATGCTACACTACATTGGCCGAGCGTTTTGGTTTCATTCACCGTCTGTACAAGCATGAGACGTCTCGCTCCTATCCAAAAAAACGTTTGTGTGTTTTGCGGCAAAGAATCTGCCGTGCTTTGTGCTCCCTGGCATATTGTGGCTTGGCCTGCTGATTTGAACCCTTTGTTGTTGATCTATTTTTCCCCCTTTTTTTTCTTCCAGGGAGTGAGGCAGACCTCAAAGGTTGCATTCCTGTCTCACCTAAGGTGCACCTGGGATCCAAGAAAGTGGAGAAGGCATCGGACAAGCCAGACATCCCTCCACTCGAAGATGCCCTCCTCTCCAGGCTTCGGGACGTGTCCATTAACGAATCCAGCAATGGAGTTCTACCTCCCAGCAATGATTCGGGTAATTCATTGCATTCCCCTCCTACTCGTGGCCTTTTCGTTTAGCTTGCGAAAGTGTTGTGTCACTTGAAATTAAACAGTGGCAGTTTTTGTAATCATCCTGGGATTCCAGTCAACGTCTATAGCCACTCAAGGTTTATGGTAATTTTAGTTTTATAGCTGCTTGAGCTATTCAATGCTGTGCTTGGATTTTTAATTGATTAGAAGTATACTGCCAGACGTACAAGAACAACATCAGTCGGTTATATCCACTACACTAAATAGACTCGACCATATCTACTTGCTGACCATGGGTCCCAATTGTATGCACTTTGGTAAGCTTTCTTAATATTACAGGGATAAAAAGAGAAAATCTTTCTGTGGCTTTTATTTTGTTCCGGTAACATTAGCGCCAGCATGCTCTAATTTGTAAATTCTTCAATATTTGACTCAAAATTTGACCATAATGTTTTGTAGGGATTTAATCACTAATGTCGACTTACTTTGAACTAGTGAAATGTATAGACTGTTTCTGGGTTGCATGTAATAACAATGTAGAGGTAAACATAAAAAAGTTATCAGTTTTTTTGTTTTGTTTTTGTTTTTGTTTTTTGAACCTTTGCTAATTGTGGCTAGATTAGAACCTTGTCATTAATTTGATCTTCCAGAGGATGGGCAGCCCAAAGATGACCAAGGTTCGGACTCGGATTCTGACGCCACGGTAAACTGGGAGATCTCCGAAGAGGCGCAGGACCTCCGGGAGTTTGAGTGCACCCGGAAACCACGGAAGCGGAGGCACAAGAAGAAGAAAGACACGAAAGAAAGAGAGCACACGGAGAAGCCAGGTACGACGCCATGCTATGCACGTGATGACAAATCCATGAAGTTGTCAGCACGTTGAGGAGCTTGATATTTCGGGGCTATCCAAAAAACGAAAGGAGCAGATTTCTAATGTTTATTTCAAATGAACTTTACAAAGGACAGAAACACGGTCCGCAGATCACTGAATGGAGTAAGGTTTGAAGTGCTTAGAAGCCCGCCCACCTATGCCTGCTACTGATCAAGACGTGAAACATTGAATTGTTGAAGCTATGAAATCAATAATTGGGGACCAGTTAATTCGTGTATGGCAAGAAATGGACTAGTGTTTTGATGTTTGTTGCTCAACACAAGGTGCTCATGTTTAGAGCAAAGAACCTCAAGGAGTATGGGACTTTGAAATTAGAACCTTCCTGTCCATTGATGTCTGTTCCTTTTTTCTTAGTATCTCTGTATAATCAGACAGGAATGTCAGTCATGACAGTACCAATGGTAGTCCATGGGGATAAACAGCAAGAGCATTGAAAGCTGGGCTTGTTTGTACAGATGAATCACTTAAGAAAAGCATGCAAGGGACTGAGACAAAAGAAGCACATACTGCAGACAGCCAGATACCTGGATAAAGCTAGGTTTGGCTATAGTATGTGTTAAAATCCTATCTGAGTGACTTATCAATTTGATGAAAGTTTGAGGATAATGAACCTTTCAAAAACTTTAATAAGGGTTTTTTAAATGTTCTGCTAATATTGCGAATTGCAAATATTAGTTTCGAATAATGAACTATTCAATATTCGCTTTGACATGAACTGCACATATTTCTTGAAGTGTTGATCGCGGCAGGTTAGCCCCGTTGAGCGCGCTTCTTACCGTGCATGGATGCACTGTGGAGAAGCAACACCCATGGAAGTGAGATTTGCGTGTGTTTCTTCTCCACAGTGTACCACTGCTCGGTAAGAAGTGCACTTAACGGAGTAACCCGCTGCGATCAACACTTGGAAAAGTACTTACTTCACAATTACGTGCTTTAGAGGAAAGCACACTTTCAAAGTGGAATGGTGTATGCGTGCACCTAGTGTATTTGAAAAGAAATGGAAATGTTGTGAATATTGATATCTACAATGCAGTAAAATTTTAAAAACTAAACTGGCTGTTATGCAAGAGTGTGTGTTAGGTAGAGTTGCCCTGGCAACCTGTGTTTGTCATTCATGATTCCTTTTTTTTTTTTTATAATTCGAGATTGATGAAGGAAAATTTTCATATAGCAATATTTGTAAGTCCACTCAATTAGGTATAGCTGGGCATATCTATAAGCTTAATTTTATGTCAAACCCTTTCTTTACTTGCCATCCCAAGGCATCAGACTTTCGGAGGTCACAGTTCAGAAATAAAGTTAGATAAAAATTAGCTTGTAAATAAACTAGTGAAACATCATTCATGAGTTCTGGGGTTTTGTTTAAGCATGGAGCAACATTAGTGAAAGGCTTCGAGAAATTATGCTATACTTGATTCTAAAATATTTGGCCAATACTACTATTCGCTTTGAATTCGCTTTGAACTTAAAATCCCCTATTCACACATGACTCAATCTTTAACTATGGTAATATTTTTTTTTTTTTTTTAGTTTTGTGGTTGAGTGGAAAATCGCCCCAAGTCTCCCTGAAATGTGCTGACGGGAGATAATACAGATAAATACTACGAGGGTAAATTAATTTTTATTATGAATGGGTTAGAAAAATGTCCGAATTTGGATAAAAGGTCGTTCAAAACTGTTAGCTCTTGCTCATATTCAAAACAATCACAGGCATATGGCCCCTGTCCTTTTTGTGCTTTAACTTGTTGGAGTTGCAATCTATTGTTTAACTGCCAACATGTTCTGTGCTATTGTTTTATGACAACCTGAGAGATAGTGTAGGGACATACAAATCTGCAATTAGCTGAAAAAACATATTCACAATGAGTTTTTGTTATTGTCTTCCCCTAAAACAGACTTTAAATGAAACCTTTAGCAAATTGGTTTTGCCAAACAATGAATAAGGAGACTTTTTTCTCCTTTGAACCGCAGTGCCCAGAGAGTTCCGAGCGCTCAAGACGGCACTGTTCGAGTCCTGCAAAGCCGGAAATGGTGAAGCCTTGGCGTCGATGCTACGCATCCTCGCGGATAACAAGCACGGCGAACAGACCGATGCCTCTTCTTTGGAAGTGCCAGCAGCAAACGAACCCTCCGAAAATGATGCCGAACTGCCACCTCCACGTCCCCCGTCGAAACCGACCAACCTCGAAGAGCTCGCAGTGGTGAAAACGGGCAACCAGTTCCGTCTGCTGAGTCCGGTGGGATCCGACCCGGATGCAACACCTGTCGTGGAGAGGGCGGTGGAGTGGGGCGCGAGGACGGAAGTGAAGCTTGAACGGCAGGACTCTGGTGAATCGCCGTCGGTCGAGATGTGCTGCGACGTCGTGCGCCGGTTGGGTCTCGAACATCGGTTGCTGAACGGCCCGATTGACTCTTCCGACTCGACTCTGTTGCACTACTGTGCAAAGCATGCGGCCGTGAAGCTGATACGCTGCCTCATGCAGGCCGGAGCAGATCCTGTGGTGCAGTGAGTGTCTTCGATTACGTCTGGTGTCGTCTTGAAGGTTCTTGCGCGTCCTGATACCAAATGCGCCTTTTTATAACCTCTGTAGATTTTTGAGTCCTTTCCCTCTAATGTCTTCCACGTAAGAATGCATACTTATGAACCTAGTTATGGTGGCTCTTCTTGTTGAAGTGAATTTATTTGTTTATGTATTCTGAGTAGGAACCATTTATTTGCATGTTTCTGCATGTTGTATGTACAGTAAAATCCCGTAAGGACACCCTCCCAAAATGAAGAGATAAATTGGGAAAAACATGGGGTAAGCTATCTTTCAAGATGCAACAGCAAAACTTTATATAAAAAAAAAAAAGGCGATAAGACATTTGTCTATCCACTACAAACCACATAAGATGGGAACTGATACCACAGATTGCAGGCACGGAAAATTTGCGTTTAATGATGTGATAAACACGCGGGAATTTGCTACGACATCCTATGTCATGGTAAAAGGGGTTGCGGATGCAGCAGATTCGCTTTACCGTGTTTGCACGATTCTAATGCGTAGGCAGATTTAGCTTTCAGATATTCAAAAAGTAAATTGGGGGCGATTCTACCGTGCAGGTAGAATAATGAAGATTGAACACATACCTCATAGAACGAATTTTATAAAATGAACGCCAAAACAAGAATAAATGCTGTGCAATAGTTGCCGTTGTCAGAGTCCAACGATGTTTCTTCGCTGTCCACAGAGGTCATACCTGCCTTTGTCTAAAACGTTCTAAGTGCTGCGCTTCTTGCGCCCGTATAAGTGCGCGACCGTTGGCTTTGGGAGGGTCATCTTCCAAACAACACTTTGGGAGCTCGTTGGGTCGCTGGGATTGTGAGGAAACGCAGTGCTGCTCTGTTTTCTTTTCCTGCCAGCGGTGGACCCTTTTGTTTAAATAATGCCTCCTAGTGGAGTTGTTTTGTTTCCATCTTAAAACAGTGGGCACGAGTCCGACATGGGAGAATGCGTGTGATACGAATACCAAAATGGCGAATGTAAACAAACGGTCACGATGGCATTGGGGATAGCCACCTTATACCGAGTATTGCATTTTCTTCAGTTTCGGATTTTGATTTCAGTTGTAATGCATACTATGTAGTTTTGGGCACTGATTCTGGTGAAAAAAAGTGCGCATTAGAATCGTGCAAATACGGTACACAGTGCGAAGGTCATGCGGGAACCTGCCGCAAACTCGCATGTTATAACAACCAATACCGCCACTCGCGGATGCAACAGATTTGCATTTCATGGTGCAACAGACATTCAAGACAACCCGTAAGTCACGGGAACCGATGTTGCGTGCACAGATCGCGGGCAAAAAACGCAAGAACCCACCACGAACGCGCATGCCACGGGAACAAATACCGCGGATTGCGGACGCAGCAGACTTGCATTTCACGATGCAATAAACACGCGGGATCAACTTGCACGTCACGTAAACCAATATCGCATGCACAGAGAACGCGCAAAAATGCATGAACCCGCTAGAGACTCCCTTGTCAGACGTACCGGTACCAAAGATCGCATGGTTGATGCGATTGCCGTCGGACATCATGTGATGTCTAACGGGAATAGGGGGTGGGTGATATTTTGGAATTTTTATGTTTTAGATATTTACCCCAAAAAACGGGATGGGCGATCTCATGGGAAAGGGCACCCTTACAAGATTTTATGGTACTCGAGTTGCAGACGCACTGTTTGTGAACAAGGCTCACATGTCTCATGCCTTGCAAAGCACAGAATGTAAAATACAGCGGGAGCACCCACCTCGTACCAGCGCCCGTCATTAACATTTCTCAAACTTGGGAATTCTGCATATTATACAATAAACGCCCGCCCCCTCTAAAGTGCTGGCATCAGCCTAAAATATTCACTTGTTGCGGCAGCCACGATACTGCCAGCGGCCATGACAGGGATACCCGGTTTCTTACAATGGAAAGGATAAAACTACTCGTGACGAGAGCATTGACCTCCTATTCTGCACTGACTCAGAAGGGTCATTTTCTGGGTTTATTTACGATGAATAGGTACTAGTTTATTTTCGCATGATAAGTGAGGGGGGGGGGGGATTGGGGGGATTCAATAATTTGTCACGTGAAAAGAAATGTGCTTTCTCCAATTCCTTTCACCCTACCTTCAAACCTCTTTATTGACCTCCATCCTGGTTTTTACCAATTTGACTGTACAAGCACCCATATCTAGATTAACCCAGCTTTCAGTGAAAGTGGGGTGGGTACTTTTCCGGTATTTTGCGGTACAGCCAGTCATCACGTTGTACATAATTAATGTAGGGAATAATGAGGGTGAGAAGACGAGGAGAATGCTCTCTGCGCAGGTCACAAGCGTGGTCTGCGCAGAGAGCATTTTCAGGCGAGGACTTCATCTCATTCCTGTAAAATGTTTTGTTCCTTCTGTCGAACGCAACGATTGGCTATCTGCTTGCTTCGCAAGAAAGGGTACACCGAGGCTGTGTTCATAAACAGTGTGTCTATCACTTGAGTAAATACTTAGATTGCCCCCATGTACCGTCGGGTGGGGATCCAAGCACTCCATCTCATCTTGGTTTGGTTGCAGGAATGCCAAGGGGCAGACACCATACATGGTCTGCCCTGACAAGCAGACCAGAAATGAGTTCAGACGTTTTAGGGCGGGGAACCCTGACATGTACGACTACGAGAAGGCCCAGGTAATGGACATAATATGGAGTTTCCGGCCCTTTCTTAAAGCCTCTCTCTGCGTGTGGCTTTCACATTGTCTGAGCAGCTTTTTAATGTGAAAACGTTAACTGTCTCATTGAGCGGAGCCTACGGCGTCTGTAACCGCAAAGAAATGTAAAAGAAATGCCCATTCTTCCATTGGCCGAGCAAAACGGCTCCTAGGTAGCCATTGGCAGCTGCTTCACGAGAGTGTGCGCTCGGCCGCCGCTCTCATGTCTGGCATTGCCGGAAGGACGGGGGGGCGGGTTGTCTGCGGCCGCTTCACAGGAGCGCGTGCTTGGCCGCTGGCCGGAACCTCGGCACTAGTCGAACGTTTCCATCCACGCCAGTACACTGCAGATGTACTGAGAGAATGGAAGAACGTCATTCATGCTTTCGCATTCACAACTCATAAGAAGTGCCTAGGTGTCCTCTGAATTTTTTTAATATGGAATAAATATTTACACCTCATTTTGTCCATCACATCTGCTTCCTGCAGAGCGTAAGGAGAGCCAATCATTGCAATTTGTTGGAAGTGTCTAGCTTAATGGCAAGACCCGTTTAATCTTTGGACCCAACAATGTATTCTGCGCTGAGATTCTGGCATGTGATACTTCATACTGAACTTCCTAGTACAGGTCACATTTTGGGGTCCAAATATTATCAAAATTTGATTTATTTCTGGATCTTTTCACAATATATTGCTCATATGCTGCAGGAAAGTAAATGTGCTTGCCTTTTTGTGAAAAAGTTGTCCTGTAAATAATATACTAGTTATATGGTGAAATACCAGTTGAGCAGACTCCAGTTGACAAAACTATTCAGATGAATATATTTTTGTAAAATTTCTCTGGAAAACTACATTGTGTTTAATGCATTCAACTGAGGGAATCACTAAACTACTTTTTGTGATTTTCTCTTCATGGTAATAACTCTATCTATGGGCACTAAGCATCCTAAAAAACCAAACATTATGTTCATGCGTGGCCAATTTCTCTACTAAAATTAGTGTAAAAAGATTGGTTACCGCGGAATTATCGCAGACACCAGAGAAGGCGCAGTTGCACGAGGAGGGGCAGGGCTCTGCCCGTCCTCTTCCAGTGGCGCCTTCTGGTGTCAGTCTTTTGATACTAATTTTAATGGAGAAATTGGCCGTGCATGAATGTAATGTTTCGTTTTTTAGGATGCTTAGAGCCCTAGATTGAGTTAGGACCATGAATAAACTATCACAGAAAGTGCTTTAGTGCCCCTTTGAGCAAAATTTTGTTCTTGCTTGAAGTTTGTTAAAGTTAAAGTGCAAGTCGAAAAACAGCAATACTCTAAACCAGTGGTTCTCAACCATCAATGTTTCGCGGACCCCTTGTGGATCGGCACAAATGATGGAGGACCCTGTTCGTGGTGAAAGGAGGGGAAAGGTATAGGTTAAATGTAATAATGATTTAATAAATGGGTATAACTAAGGCCGAAAGTGAAGTAAACCTTTTTTATTGACATACACACGATGAAACTCGCTCGAAATGTGAAACATTTTGTCTTGACCTGGAAAAAGACAACTCTTATTGACGGGCTAGACTGATGAGGCAGGGCTTCGTGGACCCCTAGATAGCCTTCCCGGACCCCAAAGGGTCCGCGGACCCCCATTTGAGAACCACTGCTCTAAACAACTTAATTTTCGTGAATTTCGAGAATGGCCTACAGTTTGCGTAAGATAGGTCCCTCAAACTATTCCGGTAAAATGTAAGCACATTGAACTCTGTATTGAGATCCCACCGTGTCGCGAAAATTAAAACCTGCGAGTTATTTAAAAACTTCAAATTTAACCTAAATCGGGAAATATTGCAAATTATGTTGATTACAGTATTTGGACAAAAATTGGGATTTCGGGTTTTTTGGTGTTTTATTATCCTTGAATCTTTATATTGTATGTATAAATATAGCAAGGGCTGCTTATGATCGCAAAATTAGTCAAATACGCATTTGAAGACTTCCCGGCAACCAGAACCGGCATAAATTTGAGCCATTTTTCTGCGCGTGGTTCTTCAAACTGTGACGTCATCCGCCATCACATTTACGGTGACAAGTAGGCCTAGCCGTCTCCTCCTCGTAGCAGTTTTCTGTAGCTTCAATTTCTCACAAAAAATTACTACTAAATCTTTTTTTTTTTGTAGCGAGAGAGGGTATGTAACACATCTGTGGCAACATTCAAACATATTTTACTTTTTATGTAATTTTGAGACATTTTCACAGTTTCCACACAAGAATTTTCGTTTTCTTAATACTGTTTTATCACAACCAAATTTGCTTTATACTTTAGAATACATAGAATGCAACTACCTAGGCTTGGTTAGAATGTATATTTTTATATTTATGAAAGAAACTTTTGTTAGCACCTTGAAAATAGCGTTTTTGCGGTTTGTGATTATTTTAATATTTTGATGTTCATTGCACTTAGTGGTTTAAAAGAAGTGAATTATTTTAATAGACTGTTTTAAGTGTGTTCCCATGCCCCACGTGTGTTTGTAAGAACATGGTTTTGTCTGCATGTGCATCGCATCTAGAACATAAAAAACAAGCTATATTAAAATAACCAGATTTATAAACAGGAGATAAAACACTATAAACTGTGAAAATTTCACTTAGTTATCTTAAATAATGGAAAAAAAGTTACCCCTCTTGCATATTTCCTTAAGTGGTATTTCGCTGTACTGGTATATTTGTATAAAGATAATTGTAAAAAATGTCAACTGTGCATGGTACAGAAAGAGCATATTGGACCGTTTTTTGTTCCGCTTTATGCCCAGATACCAAGTGGGCTAACTGATGAGATGGAGAAGGAGAGGTCTGAGAAGCATGCGGAAAAGCAACGTGAGAAGCGGAAACTGCACAGGGAGAAGCTGAAGGTCTGGAACCCATTCGGGGCTTCTATTTGGTTGTTTACAAATTTTGCTTATTTTACATTAATGAAATAAAACAATGCTTACCTTTTACAGTGGAGGGGGGGGGGGGGGGGGGCAAAACGCTGATTTCCTGTTGCCCTGTTAGGTATTTTCATGGTGAGTGACAAATGTAATTTTTGGAGTTGCCTTCAGCAACAAGCCTTCAGTTAAAAGTGGTTTCAGAGTATGTCTCTGGCTAAACCTAAAAACTGCCACATTAAAAAAAAAAAAAAATTTAAAAGGTCACAAATCACGTGAAATACTAATCAGATGACTCGTTTGCTTATATCAACTATATGTCGGAAAATGTTTCAAACGTGAGCAGCATGATAATTTATTCTCTGCTGCCCATATAGTTGTTAGTATTTGTCAGCCAGTTTTATTAATTTCATGTGTGTGCTCAAAAGCAAAGTTGATATTTTGGGGTGCCCGCTTTTTACAACATCGGTGGCTGTTAGTGGCGCATCCCCCATTCTGCAACAACGTAAACGTAAATTTAAAAAAAAAAAAGAAAAATGATGAGCTTGAGAGCTCGGCTTGGTCTCATGACTGGGCCATGATGTCATGCGGCCGGGCAATGTAATCCAGCTGCGTGCAAAGCGTTTGCATGTTTTTGAGTTTTGGGTGGAATGCACTTTGCTGTGCCGCATCTTGCCTAGTCGTCCGTTTTACTAGGGGGATCGCTCTTAGTCTTCAGTATTGCAATTTGCAAAATCGCAATACTCAAAAAATTGTCGCGTGAAATCGAATGAAACAAAAACAGATTACAATCTTAAAATCATTTACTCATGAACAACGTGAAGACACTAAATCCATGCAACGTCATTTCAATCGATCAGCACAATGTCAATCAGTTGTCATTGTCATATCGTCGAGTAAGAAACACAGTTGACGCTGTCCAGACGCAACACGTTGTGTAATTAAAGCACAATTTTTTTTTTCATTCTATTCAAGAGAATGAAAAGATTGGAAGATTGAGTCTTTAGAATATCAACTTTTTTTTTTTTAGAGTTATGTTACACAAAGAATTCAATCAACCTGACATTCTGATTCACTTCTTGCAGGGCATTTGCAATTAATAAATATGTGCTAGCTTGCTTTATAGTCACAATCCATAAGAAAGTGAAAGTACAATATTCAACTGCTCTCTGCTGGCAGTGTCACGAAGTGGCAGCATGGGAGCTTTTCAAGCCAAGGGCATCAAGGCACGAGACAAGGTGTGCAAGCCGCCATGGCTGCCGCTTACTAACGGTGTCAGCAGGGAGCAGTCGATGATCACGTGTTCACCTTCATGTGGATAACGATTGTAAAATGGAGTTTATACCAATTTGAACACTACTGAAGAAAGGCAGGATCGCTGAGCACCATTGGGAATATCCCATGATGAATACTTCTACTTTGATGCCTTCCTGAGTCAGACAGTTCGAGCGTGCATCTTGGAGATTTGAGCTGGAGAGATAGCACGGTGGAAAAAAGTTCACCCATGGGGATGTTTGTTTTCTAGGAGAGGAAAGCAGCTGAAGTTAAGAGGAAAGAAGAGGAGCAGGAGAAGCAGCGGTTCCTCTCACTCAGCGACAGGGACAAGGCAGGTATCATTTAAAAGGAGAGCTTGGCTTCAATGACTTCGTCACATCTTGCACAACATCAGCAATGTAGCACAACATCAGCAATGTATTTGATGATGTTGAAGCCATCACCAAATTTTCATTGCCATGCTAACTGTGTAAGGCAGGCAGGCCATGGAGGTGATGACTAAGAAGCAAAAAGTAAGACTGTAATAAATAAGAATTTAAGATGATTGCTGCTCTTATACCTGGCTGTTAGTGCAGGGGTTTGCTCCCCCCAGCATGTTTTACATGTGACTTCCAAGTTTTATGATGTGGCATGTTTATTGCGGTGAACCTGCACCATCTGCAACCATCAAATTCTTCTACGTTCAAAAAGTAACAGGAAGGTGCTCCTTTGTGTGGTTTTTCCACTTCATTGAAGTGAATTGGGGACTTCTGCGTACGTCACTCACTCATGTATGAATTTGGCTGATTTCTGCCAAAAGCGTCTCAACTAAACCTTTCCTTCTTCTTTACTTTAGAGAGCTCTTGCTGCTGAGAGGAGATTCGCAAAGCAGCTTCTAGCCACGAATGCCAGTCATGTGGTGTTGGTGTAAGTGAAAATTTTGCTCCTTCAGGCATTGCCTCTATTTAGATTGATGTTCGTTGAATCTCTTGCAGTCGGTGCTTCATGTGTGGAATCGACATCACCGGGAAAGTGCCCTTCGAGTACAGTTCCAACAAGTTCTGTACGATAGACTGCGTCAAGGAACATAGGAAGAAGCCTTCAAGTCGCACTTGATCTGCCTTTAGACGTCGCCGAATTATTTGGTTGCATTTGCAGGCTGGCCTTGCAACTATTTGCAGTTTTATTTGTACAGATTTTGTATATTTTATACTGCTTCGGGCTAGGCTCTGTGATTGCGATATTTAAATAAATAAATAATATACACAAAAAAAAAGAACATTGAATAAACTACATTTGGAACAAACTTAGGTGAGCTGGTTTCAACATCCTTCAATGCAAACTGCGGGGAAACTTTGATAACTTCCTCAAGCAATAGACATTGGGTGTCATAAGTTCGAACCTAACCCTACGGCGTTGCTATACGGTTTGTTTCGAGCCAACGTCACTAAAACGCTCAGTTGGGAAACTTGCCCTTAAAACCTGGGCCTCTGGCGTCCTCCGGGACCGAGCTGAATATGATGACAGCACCACCCTTTAGCGACGAGTTGAAACATGAAAGTTGCTTTATATGGCTACTGCTAGAGACATGGAATATTCAGTGTCTGTTCCCAGAGTGAGTGAAGCCACCAGACGGCCATCTTGCTTATAGACGAATTGCGGTTTTGCTAGCATTGCAGAGGCTGATGGCAGCGTGCTGAAGACTCGTTCGTCATCATTCGCTGAAGAAGTCTTTTAAGACCCTGTGTAAGCAGTGGGACTTGCTGTTGAGAACATGTAGAAAATTTTACGGAAGCACAGTGCTGCAGGAGAAATGCGAAACTAAGTGAAAGCAAGTTTCGCCGGTCTTGCGGCGTGAGCTTCCATGATACATTGAAATGCTGTACTACCTCTGTGCCTTTGCATGCTTGGATACCGATCAAGATTTTATGCCGTGTGAATATGTTTTGCAAGTGCAATGTGTGTGAAGCCATTTGTGCCTCTGGAGCAGCGTTTTACTTTACTCTGACGACTGTATTTGTAACTTGCAGCTCTCGCAGTTCAGTAACGAGCTTGATCCAGCGTCCAGTGGCGACGGAAGAGGGGGGGAAGGCACACAATTTTTTAAGTCATTAGACGATTTACAGAGTACCGCGCATACATCTTCTCATCACTGATTAGTGGCCTGTCTCATTATCAACAATTGCACATGACATCAAGTTTGAGCGTGGCTTGCCTAATTGTGATTGGTCAACCGATTGCACATGACCATATGGGCGGCGCCTCAAAGATTTTCAATCTTGCCGTCTTGTACTTTCGCCTTCAAAAGCCCTCCTTGCTCCACAGCGTTGCTCTATTCGTGCTGCCATGTGACCCCTTAGAGTAGATTTGGAACATAGCGATAGTTAATAGTGCATAAGAGCAACCGTACAGATTGTTTTCCCCGCTTTAATGATAACAAATCGCCGGGACAGCTAGAGGATCCAGAACTCCGTGGCCGATATATAATGCAAAGACATCTATGTGCGATACACCTTCAAAGCTTTGCCATGGCACTGATTCTCGATCAGTATATAAGTGCTTGAAGGCAAAAACACTTAACATTTTGGCGTGCCAAGGAAGATTTGATCACGCCATAAGACCAATGAAACCTGCTTTCTACGAGTTCTGCCTTTTTCCTGCGGCACTGCACTTTCGTGAAATTTTCCACGTGTTTTTAACAGCAAGTCTCGATGCTTACACGGGGTCTTAAAAACTTCTTCGGCAAATGATGATGAACGAGTGGAAAACGTGTCTTCAGCATGCTGCCGCCAGACTCTGCAACGCCAGCAAAACTGCAATTCAGCTACGAGCAAGATGGCTCTCCGGTGGCTTCACTCGCAGGAGCGGGAAGCACGATCCAGCAATTGTCATAGAGGTCGGCGTCTCCCACCGTATATGTTTCGGCGCCAAAATGGCCGGTTAAAGCCAAAATAGAACAGTCGCAGCGGACCAAGGAGGTTAGAAGTACTAGAAGGGGGCACATTGCAATATTGGTGAAGCCTAGTCGTAAAGTTTAAACGATATTGTGCCCAGCGTGACTGCAGATCTCTCTGGCGATTGGTGTGCGTGACATGTCACGTGCGAAATGGATGGTTGATTGTAGGAGGATTCCTTGCAGGCTTGCGCGTGCTCCATCCGGTAGGTTTTATCAGATCGAAGGCTAGACGAAGGGGTCACGTGATGTGGTCATGTTGGGCTGATAAGTGAGGAGAGTAAGGAGGCAAATAAGAAAGAGCCGAGGCATCAAGGGAGCATGGCTTGTGGAGGCTACGCGGCTGACGTCATGCCCTCTCCTACCCTTCTATTCTCCATGCAGCAGACACTATCGAATGCAATGCTTCCAAATCAGTCCAAGCAGCCGTGCCACTGATCTCTACCACAGAGGCTAGATGGCACATTAAGCAGACAGGTATGAAGCCATTGGAACTAAGCGGCTTGTCCCGGAAGTGAGCTAGCGCTTGACAGGCTTTTCAACCCTTCAGAGTACTGGTTCGAACGGTGCAATCAGGGCGCTGGGTTTTTTCTTGTCATCCCAAGAGAGCCTGCTTGTTGGGGGGATCGGTGGCCGAGTGGGCTAAAGCGCACACCCAGCTCGACGCGCGTGGAGCGAAAACTCGCGCTGCAGAACCCAGGGATCCTGGGTTCGAGCCCCACCCCTGCCCGTTTCGATCTGGATGAGCATCGTACCGGCGTGCGGTCGTGTATCACTACTGTATGGTGCACGTTAAAGACCCCAGGCTAGCGGTTGTACTGCACTGGCTAAATTGCTCATCTACAGCGAGTGACTCGTCGGAACTTTAAATGGCTGACCAACTACACGCTGCATAAATATCCCCATATCTATATTTGCTTTTTTTTTGCCTGCTTGTTGTGGAGGGACAGTGCATGCAGACCCGAGAAGTCTCCTGGGAAGCCATTCGATGTGAACATTTTTAGTTTATCAAGTGTGCGTATGTCCCACGTTCAAATGCCTTAATCTCGGGATTTAATCCAGAACGAGAGTATTAAAACCCAATCAAAGACACAAACAAGCATGGACCAAAATATTGACTGAATGCGCTAGGAAGCCCAGTGCGCACCCAACTTCTGGGACAGGCATTGAACTTCCGGTGGCTTTACTTGAGCCCTTGAGCCATGCTCGGAGCACTCTGAGTCAACTCTGAGTGCATGAGCCGTGCAGTTCCCCGAGTGACTGCCGCAGGAGAAATGGCGGTGTTGCAATCGACATAAGCTCGGTTCTCGAGTATGGATCGGTGCCACTTTTTCACAGTAGGCTCTATGGCAGTTTCCCAACTGAGTTGTTTTAGTAACTTTGTTTCGAGTAGGGGTGTCGCGAACCGGCCAAGATTCAAGTTCAACCAGGTTCGACCTTTTCGAAAGTTCGACACACCCTGTATTGAGTACAAAAATGTTTCAAAAGCCGGGATTCATCATTAAAAACAAATACCTCCGACTTGCATAACAATACCAACAATTTATCAGACGTTTCGTCTCCTATGCATCCCAGGCCGCACTGATGATGTCTCCCGCATAGGAGACGAAACGTCTGATAAATTGTTGGTATTGTTATGCAAGTCGGAGGTATACGCCTCGCAAGTGGGCTCATTTTCGTCTTCTGCGCATGAGAAAGGAAGTAGCAGTGACGTCAGAACGCCGAGCCCTGATTGGCTGATCACGACCCCCTATCTGAGCGTCGTCTGCTCCTTTGCAATGTTGTCTGCTCGCAACATCGTCTGCGTCTGTCTTACCTTCCCTGCGACTTTCGGAGGTGCAGGTCTTTACGAGCAAGCTCGACTTCCCCTTTCAGAAAGGGCAGACAAAATAACAACTAGCAGACGTGCATCAAGGAGAGAAGTCAAAGGACTCACTGGCGAGGTGTCCCGAGGCGCCGAGGTTTGTTTGCTAAGAACCGAGAGTGAGCGTGTTAGTGTTTGCAAGTTCCCTCCCAATTACTTTTTCCCTCCTTTCGTGTGCGGCGAGACCCCTCATTCTTTAACGGCGTCGGCGGGTTGGCGCAGTTAGCGTCGTCTGCTTTACGTCTGCTGCTCAAAGCGATGGCTGCTTTACCTTTCCTGTGTCTGTCGGAGATTCATCGCTTTTTCACCGGTGAGAGTCACCGTTGCCTTGGGAAACATGGAGATAACAAGAGGAAGAAATTGACCTCTTAATCTAAAATTGAGGTCAGCGATCAAAGTATAATACGGGAAGGGTTCACAAGGGTCGCGCGGGCATATTCCATTCAGCTTTTGCCAGCCGGTCGTGGGCAGACGGTCGCCGAGTCGCGGAGTGCCTGCTAGGCCTAACTGCCGTGCTCGCTTGGTCGCGTTCGGTGGAATCGTGGCCGTTGGAGCTTTTCCCGGGTGTTTGTGGATCCAGCGTTCTTGTTCGTCGTGGTCTGTTTTAAGTACTTTTTACTTTTTTCTTGCTGCTTGAAGTCGGGACGCGTGAGAAGTGCACGTAGAAAAATAAATGTCTCTGGGTCGTCGCGACCGCGACGCTGTCGGCCATGCTGATTTGATCGTAAGAAGCGCGTGAGACAGCTTCGGAGCTGTCGTAGGATTTCGTCGTAACCTGCGCGAAACTTACGAAAATTTCGTTTTGTGAATACTAATTTGTTCTTAAGTTTTGTATTACACACATTTTTGGCGTAAGATCGTTTCGTGAATCTGGCCTCTGCCCTTCCGAAAGTTGCAGGAAAGGTAAGACAGACGCAAACGACGTTGCGAGCAGACGACGTTGCAAAGGAGCAGACGACGCTCAGATAGGGGGTCGTGATCAGCCAATTAGGGCTCAGCGTTCTGACGTCACCGCTACCCCCTGCGCAAGAAGCAGACGAACTTGCCCTCCGCATTTGTTTTTAACCTTGTATTGAGGTTTGACTCGTGTGCGCATGCGCGACAGGCTGGCCAGTTGGCTTCGGATTGGATGGTGATGGCTAAAAGATGAATTAAGGGCAGCGCTGGTTGGTTATTTCATGATGTAGAAAACCCGAGACTGTGGTAAAAGCAGGGAAACTTGGTCGAAGAAGAAAGACGGGGGAAAAGAACGTTGAGACATTCTTTTCCCCTGTTTTTCTTCTTCGACCAAGTTTTCCTGCTTTTACCAGAGTCTCGGGGTTAATACATCATGATCAACATCCATCAGCTCGCCTGTGCCCTCACTGGTTTTTATAAAATAAAATAACTCTTTGCATAAAAACAATTCTCCAAACCTAGACATGCTTGTATCAAGGTCTAGCCACACTGTCCACAAAGTCGAATCAAGATGGACGCCTTTACAGAGTTTCCGGAGAAACCTTCGTTGCGAAAGACGTTGACTCACGAATTCGGGAAACTACCAAACAAGCAGTACAAGGTAAGGTGGTTGGAAATTCTGTCTTAAAAGGTCGGTGTTGTAACACTTAATTGTTGCACTGTCATTGTTGAGAAAGCCATTGCGATCTCGAGTGACACTGCCATGTGTCCGTGAAGACAGTCACGTGCGGACATGTCTTGTTTACGATTTATCTGAGTGCTGCGATTTATCTGGGTGCAGAAAAACTAACCATATGTTAATATTAAATGTCGGAACTTGACGACTTCGCTTTGCCAACGACGCTTTGAGTGCACCTAGACTGCCTAGATGCTCGCAAGTTTTCGCGGGATGTTTGGAAAGGGGAGGCACTCACTTGATCGAATGACGTTTTAGCGAACGCCCACGTTTCATCGAACGACACTTTAGCGAATAGTCGGACGCCGCGAAGCGGCGTTTTCGGGTGGGCCAAGTGAGTTCATATTTTTGTAATGAGTTGCCGTAGACTGTCGCCGCGAAGCGGCGTAAAGCGCAGCGTGACGGATGGGTTAACGCGCGCCCCCGTTATTCGCTAAAACGACCATTCGCTCAAATGTCGCCTTTCGCTAAAATGTCTTTCGCTCTTGTGATATGGACCCGCCCTTATTGAAAGTACAGAATTACTAAGAATTGAAAATGATCCAGAAGTGTAACCAGATATGATAACTTCGAATTTCCATGCTAAATAAGCCCCCCCCCCCCCTCCCCCCTTTCCCTCCCTCTTCAAACAGAAAAAAGAAATATAATAGTACAAGTGAGCCGCATCATTCCTTCATGCAACCAAATTCACCTTTTCCAGAGATTGTTGGGCGCATGCGCCAACTCTGAGGAAAGGGAAAGGCACAAGTTTTTGGGGTGCTCCCTCATCCACTCAGTTCAGACAGTGCCGGTTCGGCTTGACTCGCTGCTTTGCTCTTGTGGCCCGGCTTCACACTTGTCATGCCTCACCGTTGCGCAAATAGCAGTAAAAATACACTCCGTGCGACGCGACTGGTGCGCCGCCGCGTGGCCGGTACCGAAGGTAGGCAGTGAGAACCACAGAGAAACCGAAACCACGCCGCATACGTTGGTACGCATTGAGTCGGAACGATGCGGTTGCGCTGGGTTCACAGCATGAAGTGCTGCCTGTGCTGCATCATTAAGTGCTTCAATGGTTATGCGTCGTATCTAGTGGGGACAAAGTTTCACAGTTTTTCACCTTGCCGATGTCTTATGGGACAGCGACAACGATGGGCCCGCGTCGTACGATGCGAGGAATTTGGTCTCCCGATCATGTCTGCCACTGTGTCGGCACGGCTGACATATTCTACACTGCCGCTTTGCGCTCTGCGTTTGTTTTCATACTAGTAACGCCTACATGTATTAGCGCCGATGGGACAAACTGAAATGCCGTCTCACACTTGCGGGTATGCAGTGCCAATTTCGTTGGAGGAATGCCCTCCAAAGAAGTTTTGTCCTCATCGTACGTGTTGATGATATTTCCAGTCAAGTATGGCATGCAATCTGTACTTTATGAAGAAAGATTTGAACGGTAAAAAAAAAAGTTACAAATATGAATCTAAATAAAACAACAATGAAACTCGGGATCACTGGAGAATCGATGTTTGAGTATGGAAGTTTATGTGGTGTGCTTTTTTTCTTGATCAGCCTCCTTTTGGATGTGGAAACTCTGACACCCCGAGTTCTGTAGACAACAATTTTTTTTTTCTCGGCTTTAGATCCACCTATTGCAAAGCGGTTCGAACTGGAAGTACCGTCTATTGGTCCCTTCCTATCTGTTAAGCATGCACCCCCCACGATGAGTGGTATTATCTTGGCAGCCTTTGACGGTCAAAACCAGTTCCCATTCAGTTACGCCGCCCAAACTAAATTTCCACCTGGTTTTGCTATATGCCAACGCTTTTTGGTATAATAAGTGTTGTGTCAAGTTACGGTCATGTCAAAGTACCTGTGCGCCGAAAACCAGCACCTCACACAACAGGTTATTACACAACAGCTGACCGCAAAAGCCCTTGACGGCCAAACCGTGTGTTGGCCGACAGCTTTGTTTTCTTGGCTTTGGAACCACCTTTCGTAAAGTTGTTTTAATTGGAAGTAGAGTCCACTAGTCCCTTCCTAGCTGTAAAGTCTCCACCTCCCACGACCAGTGGTATTCTCTTGACAGCCCTTTCATGGTTAAAACCGGTCCCTCTTGAGTTACGCCACCCAAACCAAATTTCCACATCGTTTCCCTATGCCACCTCTTTTTGGTATAAATGTTGTGTCATGTTACTGTCAAGTCCAAGCAGCTGTGTGCCCAAATCTGCACTTTGCACAGCCCACTATAACACAACATTTTGGGTCCAATATTGAATATCCCGTACAGCTTTATTCCTTTATTCGTTAGAAACACAACTTTCACACCTGCTGTCTTAATGAACCTTGGCACACTTCGTGCACAAACTTGGTGAACATCTCACTCGCCTCCAAATATCATCGTTCCAGCAGTCCTACGTTTACAGCGACGAGCGAAATAAATTTCTCACTCAGAATAATTATGGTGGCGGCCGTCTTGCTTTTTGGAAAATTGCTCCAACTCCTTTTTCGGCCGCAACTAGAGAAATTGCCCCTAATAACGACTCAAACTCAATATATAAGAAGTGGAGAACAGCTAAATACCCTTCTGCCCCAGCACTCGTGCAATGTCACCCTCAACGTATCGGCTCAAAAAGCAAAAGTTTCGTCCTTGCGCGCTTCCACCGCCACAGCTTGGCATGCGAAAAGGCGCCGCAGGCTGCTGAACGGGCCTCACTGTCAAACGCCAGCTCCTCCTCTAGCAGCGCTGCGCGCGTTTTTCAAAGCGCCCCCTATAGTTCCTGCACGGAGCGTATAGTTAAAATGTGAGATTTTATAGAGTTCCAGCAGTTTATTTGCACCCTAAAAAGCGTGCAAAATGGATTTGAGTCCTGCAGCGATAGAACCCCAATGAACGCCTTGCCAACCAACTGTGAACTCTCGTGTTTGCAGTGCCCACTTCGTTGGAGGCTCGTAAACGTCTTGAATTCAAAACAACAACGTTTCTCACGTACCGTCCCTTACTTTTTGGCGGTGTAGGCGAGCCTTCAGAATATCAAGACCACCCGGATTTCACCCTGTCCTGGTTTGTTTACCTGGCTCCTTGCGCTCGCGTGGTACAATAGGACGGCGAAGTGTCGGAACGCAAAGCTGTCATTTTGCATTAAGCTTGAACAACTTCAGTGCTCGAGGAGACTGAAATTGGCAGTTTGCAGTGGCTGGGCTTCATAGACGGAGTGCACAAGCTCTGCACAAGGTGGATAGTGTGGTGGGGATTGAAACTGGTCATCATTACTTTCTTTACTTAAAACACTGCCTTGGAAGCCGACTCCTTTTTCTGTTGCTTGTCTGATGCAACACCAAAGTGACGATCGAGTGACTCTGAGTCGACGGTAGGAACCAATGTGGTGTCAGTGGTCTATCAACCTTTGAAGGTATAAAGACGAACGAAGTGGTCTGTACTATAGACCGGGACTTTTGTTAACCCTTCAAAGTCGTCCTCGGTCATTTCGAAGAAAAGATGCACACAAAGCGACGGCAGAAAGTCACGTACACAATGGCAAAAGGCGGGACAATGCAACGAGAGAGCATGCATAAACACACAGACCGGGAGACATGCCAGGCGCTGCACGGGGCGTTGGAGCTCCCAAAAATATTCAGAGCGATTCCCGCGAGATCGGGCGACGATCGTGGCCAAGCTCTCTAAAAGGCGAATTGAAATTTCTGTCGCAAAATGTATGGTTTGAGCATCGGTGTACCTGTATAATGTATCTTAATGTTTCTTTTGTGTGTGTTTTAGGTTATTCAAAATGTCAGCAAAGCCCACATAGAGTCTTTCAATTACATGCTAAAGGAAGGACTGTCGAGAGCCGTGGCGGTAAGTAGAGCGCTCTCCGAGAAACGGATCTGAATGCGCTGGGCCTTTCCTCATCTATTACTCGAACTAGCAATAGTTAGAGTACAACCTGTATTTACTGATCTTCACAGGACATTCCCCCATCTGAATTTGCATTGCCCAATGGAGACAGAATCAAGATTGAAATGAAGGCAAGTTAAGCAGTTTAATTTGTTTAGTAGGCTTGCAGTTTGCTCCTGTGTTCATTCTTACAGCTGAGAGTTGAGCAAAGGATTTTACTAGCCATGTTGCATCTTCACATAAGTTGATTTCACTACATTCATAGTTTTGATGACAGCTTTTAGATAACGAGAAAAATTTTGAAGTTGTGTTGACTGAGTCTTGTCAGCACTCTCTATGCCGGCTTGATTAATGTTATGCTGGCTTGATAAATGTTATGGTTAGTAATTTTAAAAGCAAAACATTGCAGTCTTTTTTTTTTTTTTTCTTGGTGATGACATTGTTAATAAACCCACCGGCTTTATTTTTTTTGTTCGGCGGCCCCGGTGGCCCCCAATAGAGTGGGCAGGACACCCCTTGAGTTGGATGTTTCGTGTCGCCCCCATGTTGCTAGATAAGCTGCTGCGAATTCCACCAGCCGAGCAACTGCTGAAGAAAGCCGCGCATTCTTGCATTATGGACAAGTGTGATTACCGCTGTACATTGGTGTACATCTACGCACCAATTTGGTGTGGAGATGTACTGTGGCTTATTTATATAGATTATGGTACAGGGTTTAAATTGCTACCTTACTGCAAGACTTTAAACGGTGTTTTAACAATAAGGTCTGTTGTTTTGCAGGACCCCTTCATCGGCAACCCTATGATCAGCAAAAATACGATCGGCGTGGTGACACCACAGATTTACCCGGCTGAAGTAAGTGACGCAAGTTGTCTGAAAACATTTTTAAAAAGCCCTGAAAAGAAAAAAAAAAAAGATTTTTTTAAACAGTCTGGGGGGACACCCGTGTCAAAACATAACTTGTACGTGAAAAAGATTTTTATTTTTTTTAAAGCAATATTGACGGCGAGAAATTTATTTAAAATTCTCCGTGCAAAGTTAATGACGTCATGGGATGGTCATTTGCTCTTTCGACCTCAACGAGATGGTCTTCAGCTCTTTCCACCTCAACGTGATGGTGAAGCCGAATTTGTAGTTAGCGCCGTGGGAGCCGCCGCTGGTCACGTGGTAGGCCTGTGCACCGCCGCCGCACGCAGAGCGTCGTGCGACACCGCTTCAACGCGTTTCTCCATGCCGCCGTCACCGCCGCCGCACAAGTTCGTCTGCTTTGGGGCGCCGCCGCCGTCATATGACCGGCGCACAGGTCTGTCACGTCTGCTTGTGCTTTTCCAGGAGTTTCCTTTGGGCCCTAAAAGTTACTTATTAATCTTAGCTTTTTGTTATACTTCAAACAAAGATGATTAAGTTACCTTTGGAGGCCAAAGGAAGCTTCCAAAAGAGCGAAAGCACCTCGTGACAAATAAGGGCCAGTCACATGATAAATAAGGGCCACTTTTCCGCACCAACTACAAATTCGTATAGCACTGTAAATATAGCCCTAAAAATTTTTCGTCTTCGTTGTAAAATCGTTTTATGACATCCTTTTTCTGTCTAAGCTGTTCAAAAAAAAATGTTTTTTTCCTTTGCATGTGTTCTTTAAGGAAAGATGCGGGTAAAAAAATTGCCATATTTTGCAAAAATAACATTTCGGGCTTTAGTGTTTTATTATATGGAGTGTTCCCCCAAAAAATTTTCAATATTTTTTTCACTGCAAAAATAAGCTATGCGCCGCTGAACGTTCATTCTCTGCCCAAACGTAGCGCTAGTGGTCCAAACCAGGTGCCAAAGTTAAAAAAACTAACTGTTATCTCAGTCAAATGTTACAGGTGATTTTCTAAAAATTTCAATACAAAAATGGAGCCTGTTTTCGCTTATTTTCGGAAGTGCCATTCAGCTCCACGTATTTTGAGACATTTATCAGCCGCCATTTTCCCATTGAATATTCAAGAAAATTGTTTATAACTTTTAAATAAGATAACAATAAACCCTTCCCGAAATTCTGTATGGTCACTTTGATCACTATTATCATCTGAAAAATGGCATATGTCTCTTACTAATGGCAGCCTTCTGTTTACTGATGAAGGAAGAAGTTGAAGATAATCCTTAACAGATAATTCGAGGCTTATAGACGCTTTACAGCAGCTGTGCATGGGCGCCGCCATAACTGACCTTCAGTTTTTGTTCCCTCTTATTCCGTTCGCTTCACTTCATCATTACCACAGCAGGACAGGTTATTGCCATTTGAGATGCTACTGTATATTTGTGCCCAGCATAGGCCCTTGTGAAGACCCGTCAACGCCCGCTTCAGTGGCTCGGCATCTCGGTAAGACAAGAGAAGGGCAGCTATGGCGGCTCAATCTGGCGCGTGTGTAAAGCGTCTATACATTCTTGACGTTAGCACGATGCGAAGCAGGAATTGAAAGCAAGATCTGTGTAAGTTTTCATTTCTAGCTCGGGCCCAGTCAATCTGTTGGTAGCATCAATGTGCTTCAGAGCCCCTTGAATTGTAGGACTTTGTTAAGGTGTCTACGTGGGTTCACTCTTTATTCTGACTGCTTGCATCTTTGTTTCTATGGACACTGAAAGAGATAGAGAAGGAAATGTACAGTGAAGTGCACACTGTCGTTTGCCGTCGACTTGCAAAAGTGGCGGTGCCTGATAAAATATGGCAGACTACATCTTCATTGCCGCCATTAATATGGCAGAAGTTAAACTGCTATTTGAGCCACCAGGTGCCACTGAATTTTAGGAAGAATCTATTAATTCTTAAACTTGGACATGTTGTTTGAACCGCTTAGGCTGTATTTGGATGAAAATGAGCTTTCGGTCAAGCATAATTCATTTTTGCAATGAAAAAAAAACAAAAAAAACACTACGGTAAATGTAAATTTTGTACTTAAAGTTTCATATTAAAAAAAAAAATAAGAACCGAATACGCTTGCGAAATTACTAATTTTTTCATTTGAAGACCTCCTGGCAACCAAGGAAGGCATAAATACGGGCCATGTTTGTGTGCACAGTTCTTCAAATTGTGACATCGCTTTTGAGAAGTAGACTTAGTAATTTCCTTTACATCGCAATGTTTTGTAGCTTAAATTTTTCACAATCAGTAATAAAATACTATTCTTCCCTACGTAAAGGAGTGCTGCTTACACATCCGTGGTAATATTCAAATGTGTTTTAGAGTGCGGCTCTTAGGCGCCCGTTTCCGGCTTGAGCGGCGTCGCCGTTGGCATAACCACGCGGTGGATTATGGGACATGTGACGTTACTGGTCACGTCATCTGACAATGATGTCACTGACGATGTCATCACAATAACCCTGGTGACGTCACGTGCAGGGTGTCGAACCGAAATTTTTATCGGTTCGGTTCCGGTTTGGGTTCACAGCTTTCGGTTCGGTTCTGGTTCAGTTCCGGGGAGCCAAAAATAATGGTTCAAACCGGTTTGAACCGGTTTGAACCGCTAAATTGAGAATATATTTTCCGCGTTCTTTTGGCAATATACACTATTTCCGTTGTGAAACGATTAACTATATAGTTTCTTCGATCGTTCGTGCAATTTACTTCTGTTCTTAGGTACCAAAAATATTAAATTCAGTAATTTAATTTTGACGCAAGAGTAGAAGAAAATCTACATTAACATACATAACGTCGTGTTCATACGACTCAATATCTATTTGTTTACGAGTAAAATATATTTTGCCTGAATCAAAATGTTTAAGTACAAGAGTAAAGAGTTGAGCTAATGTTGGTACATACCTGTAAATAGATCAGCTTCTAATTTAGAACTATACTGTATTTTCTTGTCCTTTCTTCGTGTTAAAGTAAAATTCTAAAGTTCAAGCTGATCTATTTACACGGTATAAAATGTTGTCGCGAAGTGTGGTAGGTCGTCTAAAATACCCGTGATTGGTACAACTTTGTGTGTCAGTATTAAAAGTCAAATCGTGTCATTGAACTAAGGAATTAATTAGATCACATAAAAATATGAAACGAGCATGCACCTCGTGGCCATATATCATGAAATAAGGTTTACGAAATACACTTCACAATATATATATATATGATGACGACCCAACTGAGCTAAAAGCAATAAAATTTTCGAAATGTAACAAAGTTTTAGGATAACTCCTTTCAGTCTATCTTTTATAGAAACACCGAGCGGCAATCCAAATGCCTGTTATTCTAACCAAACATTGTTTACTCTCAGCACCGCACGCACGCGACTAATCATGGAGCAAGGAGTAATCGCAATTGTTCACTCTAATATATACGCACCTTCGCACTCAGATTGAATCTGGCCCGAAATAGCGCTTTCCCAAGTGAACATTTTCTTATACAGAATAAGCTAACATAGCCTGGCTGTTGAGGTTAGTTGTTGACAAGATGCCGGACAATTTAATTTGCAAATGAGCATCACCCTTGCTAATTGATGATTTTAACACAATAGCGTTAACGAGCTCATGTCGCAGAAAAACCGATGTCGGTGGCGTGACTAGAAAATCCTGATGGGTCGATAGGTTCATGACGTCGGAGCTACATACCCTAGCGCAAGAATTTCAAACAACCCACAATGCTTACGTGAAACGTGATATCACGCGTCCAAATGAGGGTGATTAAAACGTGATATGTAATGCGAAATAAAGGTCACTGTATGTTTCAAATGATTTCACTTTTGAAAGTAATTCCTTTGCCTTAAAGAAAAAATTAAAAATTTTAGGCAGGATTCGAACCCACAACCCTTTAGTTGCGAGTCAGACGCTTTTCACTAGGCCACGCGAGGCACGCTTGCGCGGCAAATGAGAATGCGATGCAAACGAGGCCCGTTGACGCGATCGCGTTCCACTTTTAAAGGCGAAGCTTAAAGGGGTAGGGAAACGAAATTTCAGCGCTCATTTTCTGGCTTTAATGTGTTGCATGTTGCACCTTAACCTCAAAAACACCAGTTTTCCGTTGAAAAGCACAAGAAAACTAATTTTAAAGCTAAATAAACAATCTTCAATGTGCACCTGGTGGATGCATGCGGAGCCTATTTGGGAGGTAGTCTAGCAACGTTGTGGAAACTGCTACGTAGTCGTGACGTAGCAGTTTCCTTCGGAGCAGCGCCACTCTTTGGTATTTAAACATTTTCCTTCTTAGCTTTCCTCCTCAACTCACAAGTCGCGCATTCTACCAAACGGCTCAAGAAGACGGAAACGAGGGACTTCCCTCTTGCTCGGACCCTCGTTCGTGCAACCGGACATAGCCATTCTCCCCCTAGAAGATTAGCACGTCGCTCAAAACTCGAACAAAAGTTGCTTTCCCCACCTTGTTCAGCCCTAAGCTGACAGTGTTGTGGAAGCTACGTGCTCCTTGGGCCAGCCACGCGCTCGTCACCCCACGGGCACTTCGAGCGGCTCGGTTGTAACGCGCTGACGCTATTGACACCATCGCAACGCTGACAACGCTACCAAGGGCAAAGCTCATAACCACGCCTGCCTTGCTACTCCACGAACGCGGGAAATCTTTTCTTTCTGTTTTTGTTTGCGCCGGATATCCCATGACGCATCGCGCTCTCCGTTCGCTTCTCTTCGAGCGCTTGCTCGAGTGCACCGTTTGGAACGAAAAATATGGCCAATCGTTCAAAATACAAACGCGCGATTATCATTTACGGTTATTATACGTCATGCTTGACTCATTTCCGAACGAAATCTGAATATTTCAATTTTTGTTTCCGTACCCCTTTAAAAGGGGTACTCCACCGGTTTTTTCATTGCCTCCGATTTGCTTGAAATTTTGCTAAACTAACCGACAAACATTGCTAAAATAGTATCCC